AATTCGAGAAGGCCTTCCTTTCAAAGGGAACAATAGAGTGTCTGTTGTCATTTCACTTAGCATTGAATCCATAATGAAAATCAAGCATAATTCATCATACCGTCGATATTATCCAAATTGTTAATAGTGAAGTTTACTTGAAGTAACAATCTGCACACTGACTGTTTTCATTTTCAGTTGGATCCCCAGAACTTGCAAAACAAAGACTGGCAGCGGACTGTCATTGCTATGAATGGGGTGAGTAGGACAAGACGGAGTGTCGTCGTAAAAGTGACCAAAAAGAACAGCCGAAATAACACCACAGCGTACAGCTGCAACATGAACATTGCTCTCCTCCGCCAAATGTTTTATTTCTACTACAGGAGGGCCACTTCAACATTTCTAAGATGACATAAGGACTTCTTAGGCGAATGTAACAGGCTTCCCTCTTCCTTTTCTACTCTCCGGTTTCAGGTTGAAGTCAAGCTTTCGATGAAGTTCACCAGCAGAGAGTTCAGTCTCAAGCGCATGCCTTCACGCAAACAGTCTGGTGTGTTTGGGGTGAAAATTCATGTTGTAACAAAGTGAGTTGATCATATGCCGCACCATTCAGTTCAGGAAAACGAATGAGTTATTAAACGTGCTGAATGATCAAAAGAACACATGACGTGCCGTTGGTGGGGCTGATTCAGATTCTGCTGTCTTGTGTTTATACACTTCATGTTGCGTGGTTGGTCCGCCTCTTAGGTTTGTTGACTTATGGTAGGCTACTTCCTGGTTTGTTGACTGTTGATTTAAGTTCGCTGACCAAAGCCTTGTTTTCCTTGTTTTACCAGACGGGAGCGCTCCAAGGTTCCCCTCATTGTGAGACAGTGTGTTGAAGAGATCGAACGACGAGGGATGGAGGAAGTGGGCATCTACAGAGTGTCCGGCGTTGCAACTGACATCCAAGCTCTTAAGGGTGCCTTTGATTTGAGTGAGTTCCACTTCAATATGATAAAGCCTCATTTATTATGATAATTGATTTGAACTGGGGCGGCACGGTTGGTCCAGTTAGTGCATCGACCTCACAGTACAGAGGTCTTGGGTTCAATCCCCGCTCCGGCCTCCCTGTGTGGAGTTTGCATGTTCTCCCCGGGCCTGTGTGGGTTTTCTCCGGGTACTCCGGTTTCCTCCAACATTCCAAAAACATGCATGGCGGGCTGATTGTACACTCAAAATGGTCCCTAGGTGTGAGTGTGAGCGTGGATGGTTGTTCGTCTCTGTGTGCCCTGCGATTGGCTGGCAATTGGTTCAGGGTGTCCCCCAACTACTGCCAGAAGATGGCTGGGATAGGCTCCAGCACCCCCCGTGACCTTTGTGAGGATAAAGCGGATTGGAAAATAAATGAATGAATGATTTGAACTGAAGACATCACCACGATGTACAACACAATATTGGGCTGGTCAGTTAACACACAACCATTACATCTTCCGTTCACTTATTCTACTTTACGTTGTATTCTTTTCAGATTCAGACTCAAAAAAATTAATGTGACTCATATATTCCAGATCAAACAATATTTGTACTGTGGTTGAGCGGGGGTCGGAATGGTTATCAATGGCCCCCTGAGAAAGTATTGCCATTTTTCCTCCCATCTTGACACCCCTGCTGAAGTTAGTACGTTATAGATTATGCCTGAGTATCTCTTTTCATAATATCCTTTGATGATGAGAATTCCTACAGTGCTTTTAATTGTCCTACTGTTTTTTGTGAGTGAACATAATCTTTACAATGCCCTTCAATCTAGTTCAAGACTGAGCCCTGAATGAATAATCTGTTCCTAAATTTCTTTCAAAGCTGCTGACGTCACAGATCTTATCTTGTCCTCCTGACAGACAACAAAGATGTGTCGGTGATGATGCGGGACATGGACGTGAACGCCATCGCCGGTACACTGAAGTTGTATTTCCGCGAGTTACCTGAGCCTCTTTTCACTGACGAGCTGTACCCCAACTTTTCTGGAGGCATCGGTGAGTCACAAATTCAACTTTTTTTTTTTTTTAAACCTTTTTCAGTACACTTTCCCAAATCCACAATATTGTGTTGCCATGCAGCACTTTCTGACAGTGTGGCCAAGGAGAGCTGCATGCTCAACCTGCTGCTCTCTCTACCAGAACCCAATCTGGTCACCTTTCTCTTTCTACTCGACCACCTGAAAAGGTAAAACGCACCTGACATAACATGTCGTGTTGCATGTCAAGGGTATGACCAAATCACCAACATGGTCCTCACAGGCACCACGCTGAAAAAAAAAAGTACTTCATTTTTGATTGCACATGATTAACATTTGTTAAACTAATATCATTTGTTTATTTCTGATGAAAACACAGGAAAATGACACAAGTTTGTGCAACTGATGTATATGTTCAAATTAAGTATATCTAAAGGATCTTTTTTTTCCGTGTGGGTTACCCTCAAGAACTATAGAAGTAGCCTGTGGGACTGTTTTGAGTATGACTAATAATTAATTAATGTTGCTCATATTTGTCAACGCTGGTCTTGTGAAACCCTTTGAGCCTCTTGTGATTAAGGGCTATACAAATAAATTTGACTTGAATTACGTTCATTTCAAATCATAAGATTAAAAAAAATGAGTCAATTATCTAAGCATTGAAATAAACTGTACATATTTTGCACATTTTACATTCTTCTTGTTATTTTTACTTCTACGAATACCTGGCCCATCCCCCAAATGTGAAATCGACAACTTTTTCTCCCATTCTCATAGGGTGGCTGAAAACGAGAGCTTTAACAAGATGTCTCTGCACAATCTGGCCACCGTTTTTGGACCCACTTTGCTTCGACCGTCCGAGAAAGACAGCAAAATCACCATTAACAGTTCACAGCCGATCTCCATGAATGACAGTTGGTCTCTGGAGGTCATGACGCAGGTAGAACTCGGCAGCACAGAGTAAAACATCGGCTGCCCTGTCGATGCTTGTTCACTTGTTCCTTTGTCCTCTCAGGTGCAAGTTCTACTCTACTTTCTTCAGCTGGAGGGCATTCCAACACCTGACAGTAAACGACAAAGCCTTCTCTTCTCGAATGAATTATAATGAGATTTTTTTACACGCTAAAAACAGTCTTCAGAACAATGAATAGATGTTGCACAATATCGCCACTAGATGGAGCAATCACCTCATCAGTCATCAAGAGCTTGGATGTGGATGAGCGTTGACGTGGTTTATCATACCCCCCCAGGCCCTGATATATATGCACAAATTGTATCTTGATGAATTGTTTATTTTATAACACTTTTTCTAATTTAATGACTTTTTCTTAACGCCATGATTTGCTGCCTGTCATCGCGTACAATAGTGGTGAGTACACGGAGAGTGAATTTGTCATTTGCTTGATGGATTTGTCACCGGTGACCGTGGATTGGAATACAAACGGATCAAGGTATTCATGCCTACTCCTAGGGTTTGCCCCGGAATTGCTTGTGCCACGGGTTCACTTTGCATTCACACAGAGATGCAAATTTGCAGTTTGCATCCAACATGCAGGCATGTTGTACTTGAAATAAACTGGAAGGCTCTAGTTTTATGTGTAAAACTTCAGCAATATGTAATGATGATATCCACACAGTCTCTTGTCAAAATGTTTGAGTTCATGTTTTCACTAGATGTCAGCATTTTTTTTTTTTAAGTTCCTTGAGTCGGTTCTTCGTATTTTGCTCCTACTGTTTTTGTTAGTTGCCATCGGATTTGATTTATGTAACTTGAGTTGCTGTGTTGGTGTTTCTAGTTGCATTCCTTCTTCAATATTCTCCCTTTGAATTGCTGTCATTTTGAGAGCAATTTAATGGGTACCTTTAACTGACTCCTATTCAACACTCTGGGGTATGAACAGGGTTTATGACCCCTTGCAGTATTAATTTTGAAGGCGTGTGGAAATACACAATGTGCTTGAATTAGGAGTTACTTTCCAAATCATTGCAAGAATTGAAACGCTTGTCGGCACAAACTGAAACACTTTATTCTTGTGATCTGTGTGTAATACACAACTGCTTCTAGTAAACACTGACCAAATGTGTTTGTATGATTTCTCAAAATAAAGATTTACTTGACAACCTCATTTTGTCATGTTATTTCCATTGCATTTGAAATTACAATTTACATTTAAATGACAATTAAAAAAAATAATAATGTTAAATTGTCATGAAAATTGTAATTCCTATAAAGTAGCCAAGTCACCATATAACCAAATTTTCAATGGAAAAGTTGATAATCCTTGCACTTTCTTAACTTGTGTATATGGTCGACCAAGGGTGTTTGCACTAATTCTAACAAGAGTATATAACAACACCCCTCTCTCAACTGAATCTTTGGTGGTCCAGTCTCCCTCCTGTGACGTTTATCATTTAATCCACACATTCCTGGGAATATGATGCTGATTAAAACAGTACGTAGCAAAGCAAGAACACCAAGAAGCCTGATCTAACACAGTACATAGTAATGTGTGTGAATTACTTACATTCAAGCATGACTGAATAAAACATTTTTTTTTCTTCATAGTGTTTTAGCCTTTATAAATAAAGGTTAATTATAATAGCACTACGCTTTGATAGGAGTAGATGGTATACTTAAACACAAAAGTTAAAATTATATTCACTACCAATTTTGATATCTTGGCACAAAAACGTGAATGCACACAACAGTTTCCCTTCTATTAAATTACATACAGCAGTGTTCATAATAAAAAGAAGGGGTGACAAGCATATACAAGCTTTACTAACGTTGTGATTTAAGTTACAAAAAAATGCTAAATTTACATGAAGTAACTGTTGTTTGCGTGTGCGTCTGCTTCAGTAAGTATTTGTACTTCGTTACTTCCCACCGCAGCATTTGAGGGCAATGGATACAGTGCAGGACAATGAGATGCAACGCAGACTAGCATATGATTGATAAATATATAGAGAAAAAGAGTCTAAGTACATGAAACGCCGATTATTTAAACCTGCTAAAATGCAAACGAGAGGAAACGTGCAGTGCAGTGTCCCCGTTGGCGAGGCGTGATGCTGAGGTGATGCAGATGCAACCAGAAGAGGGTGCAGAGGATCATCTCGCTGCTGTCAGCAGAAGCGAGCTGACTTCCAAAACTGATGCTGCCCGCCTGCCTACTTTGGGTAGGATTAACAACCGGCGCGCCACCGCCATCGCGCTTCCATCGGACATTTAACAATCCATCAAAGTAGGAATGTAGAGGAAACGCAGGTTTGCACCTTTTCTCTTTTAGTGTGTAGAGTGCTGCTTGTTTGCCGGCTATGCTAACGTCGTTAGCTTCACGATAGCTTTTAGCAACCTTAGCATTGTCACAGTTGAACTGAGCTCAAATTAATGGCTGGGTGTACACACTCAGTTCACATTTATCTCCGCGGATCTCCGTGTGTTAGCGCCGTTCGTTTAAACAGTGTTAAAGTGATGTTTTCAACAGTCATCCACATTTTTAGAACAATGTGTTGTTCGAGAAAATATAGCTTGGATGTGTCCTGGGAATTACTTCAAAATAAGCTACTCTGAAGGATAGCTACGCAACTATTTCTGTGGGAAAAACTGTGCCATGTGTATTACGTTAGTTGATCTGCGTAGATGCCCAATTGTGTGGCGTGATATTTCAATTGTTTTAAGTCATTCGTGATCCTCGCATCACTACAATGCCATTCATTTTGACAGCAAACCATTCAGCTTTAGTTTTGGTCCTAGTTTCGGTCATTGTTAGAGTTACCCTAACTTTGCAAACAAGTTGTAATAAAATACTTTCATTACCAGTCGGCACATTTACAGTAGAGCTGTCACTACTACTGACTACTGAGTATGAGTACTTTGCTTGTAGCATTTCAGCCAATTTGAACCAGTTGAGTGCAACCCAAGCGTATGTTAAAATCACGCTTCCATTAAAATGTGGGAGCTAAGTATTTGGGTGTTTCGGTGATTTTGTTTTGAAAGCTATTGTACAAACAGGAAGCTAAATTACTGAAATTCCCAGCGTGCCTTACCCTATAGTTGACTGGCTCGATGGAGTACTACCCTCATTGGCTTTATATGGTCATTTGCCTTGAAACTAAAATATGTAATACGTGTTCCGGGTATCATTAATTATTGGAAAGCAAATAGGTTGTCATTAAAGCATGCGTTTGACCATTCGATTTACACGGAGATAATAGTGGCGTTAGCTGTGATGCTAATGTTGTGGGTGTGCCTAATATTAAAGGTGTGCTTGCTCATATATTGAAATAAATGAGCAGAGGAACTGATGTTATATGGGATCCTAAGGCCGTTTTGCTGACACCCCTGTTTAACACACACAGATCCCTCTCTGTCTTTATTTTTAACCATGAGATGTTTTTGAACTTTCCTGGTAGTTGAAAAGAGGTTTCTTTCACAGCCTTTTCATATGAGTCTTTAGCTTGATTCGGAGGATATTTATTTTGTGAATGACTTTACCTGAGTATTGATTCGCTGAATAAAGTGTGTGTGTGTGTGTGTGTGTGTGTGTGTGTGTGTGTGTGTGTGTGTGTGTGTGTTCTCCAATGACATGAAACAAGAGCAAAATGAAATGTTATTTCCAGACACCCATGGACATAGCATAACAATTCAGCACCGCACAGAAAAAGGGGGATTGTTGTGCTGTAAAGGATGTTTTAGTTCTGAGTATACAGTTTAATTATTTCTTTTTTTTTTCATATAAGGTCAGTCAGGAATAATTTATAGTTACTTAGGTGTTGATCTTTTGTATCAGAATTCAGGCATGTTTTACAGCATGTGACTTGAAACTTTAATAGTGTCTGTTCTCTCTCAAGCAGGCTGGTGCCTGCTTGTCCACAAGCACACAGTCTGCCTTGTAAGGTTGTTTCTTTGGAGACGCCATCACAGGAAGCTCTTGTTATGGCAAGGAAGTGCCTCCCCGCTGCTGAAGCTTCAATAAGGAAAGAACGCAGCAAAAGGGGTCTTTATGAGCAATTACAAGACTACTATCTTTGGCAGGTCCTCGTTTGTCTTCTTTTAACTCTCATCTTTCTTTCTCAGTCAGTCCCTTATTCATGACTATCAAAATCCAACACTGTTCATGAGCTGTCCAGTTCTAGTTTGGCTCATTTGTCCGTCAGTCAATTTAACTTAACTCAGTCCCTCGGCTTTCAACTTTCAGCAATACGTAATACTAAAAATCGGGTTTTGTTTGTTTGTTTGTTTTTATTTGTGGTGGTTTGGGGATGGGGGGGTCGACATTGCTGCTAAATCTGTCTTTGTACCATGAAAAATATCTGGCGTAGTTGTATTCAGTACAAGCACAGATGCAACTTGCTAGTTTGTTTATTGTTGGTCACCAATTTAGACAAAAGCATAGCAGAAATATGAAAAAGAAGAGCATAAGACTTATTTTGGGACATCTTATTTGAATATGGGGAATTTTCTATTTTGAAGAGGAACACAGGGATTTCCTGTTTCCCACACTGATCTTTTTCCATGGCAACCCGGAGTGTCAATTCAACACACTTCATGCTAATATTGACAAAAGGATGATGAAGAACTTTGCAAATAAAAAGAACATGTTACGCACGCACGCACGTACATTCGTATGTATGTGTGTGTGTGAGGCAAACTTGAGACGTTAAATGTTGGGATTGCCCATGTATGTAAACGTTCAGTTGTCTATTGAATTGTTAATGTTGTAGTAAGTCTAATATTTATTTAAAAATTAGTATTTACCCAGTATTAGCATCATGTGCAGTGCCTTCTACTGTACCTTGAATAAAAGATGGCTCTGTGACTTGAAACTGTTGCAAGATTATAGTAATTGCCCATGCCACAAGACTGTACCCACCATATTTGAAACATGATGTGGTCTGCTTTGAGCTTTGAACTTCATCCAGTATTTTTCTCTCAGCGTCATTCTGACACATGCTGTCCTTTGGCTTCAACTGCCCTAAGAATTTGTTTCCAGAACATTTGAACATTTTTCTTGTCTTGCCCAAGGGCATCTCACCAGCAGTTGGAGAGCAAACAATCATCATGCCAACAACTAGTTGGCATGCTTTTTTTTTTTTTTTTGTCACAAAACTTGAACTGTGACATTCCAGTTCCAAGTCCCTACAGCTGAGCCACTAGCTACTATTTATTTTTTATTTTATTATTATTAATTGGGTTTTTTTTTGCAGTAAATAGTTGACAGTTCCTAGCTGTTGTTCGGTAATCTGTACTGTTCTCTGAAGCTATAGTTTTCAGTTCTGCAATTTCATCTACATAATAGTACATTTATTTGAGCAGAATATCAAGTAGTTCCAACTCTGGCAAATGCCATATTTTTATGAAGCTTCCTGAATAAAACTAATACAGTACTTCAGACATGTCATGGTTATTTTTATAGGTACAACAATCAATTAATGGACAACCAATCAATTAACAAATTTAACATCAACAAATTTGATGTTTGATTAATAGTTTGGAGACCTTATTTAACTTTAAATTGTCCAAATCCCTGGAATTTCATCCCCTCTTAGTAAATCTCTGATTTTTGTCATCTTCCCTAAAAGAGGGCAGAATGGTTATCTTTGTGTCTAGGCAAAATACTTTTACTTTGGATAATGATCAACATGTCTTGGAAAAAAAAGCCCGATTTTGATTATCAAAATAGCAGTTGCGGTCCTAGTTGTTGTTTCTGATCCGTTATATTTCAAGAGTCAAAATTATTAAAATACCTGCCATTGTCCAAAACGATGTAACTTTAAATACACACGTGCCACAGACGAGAAACAAATCGAATCGAAATTGAAAAAGAGTTGTGTTTTTGAATTGACTGACCCAGGAGGTCACAAAGATTATTCCCTCTGTTTGTACACTCCCACACTCACTTGTCAACAATCTGGTGCCTTGTGACTTGTATTTAGTCTCAGCAATAGTTGAACAATGTTTTCATAGTTTGAACATCAAGTCCTACGGTTTTCCTCGTCACGTCCATTGTGATTGTGAAATTTGATATGTTAACCACACCTGCTCCTTGTTTTCTTTCTTCAGATATCCAATTTTGTTTCATCTTGTTTGTACGAGCTGTGACTAAGATAGCTCCCAGTCAGTGAGTCTTATCTTAACTGTTTATTAAACAGTTCAAGCTGGTTACACAGTCTACTTTACACACACACACACACACACACACACACACACACACACACACACACACAAAAAACATATTCTCCGAGAAAAAAAAACAGAACAGAGTTTAAGATTGATTGTTGAGGGGCTTCCTTTCTAAAATAAATAACTTCGACACACTTTTTCCTTTTAAAAGACTTTGTGCACAAATACATCCAAATCTGTGCTAAAGTACTTACTCTTTGCTTCCAGCTGTGTCCCAAATAACGTTTCTGGCTATCATGGCATCAAATGAGGTTCTCCTCAGACCTGGATGGAAACCCTGCACAACACAATGTCCTGCAAGTTTTCTTGCAAGACGAGTGCTGTCAATATAGCCGGGATCAACATTTCAGCCATTGCCATGTTCATAAGTTGTTGTAGAAATTAGAGTGTTGCTCCCAATAGTTTTTTTAACACCCATCTTTTTTTTTTAAATTAACATGATTCCCATTTATTACTCCCCATCATTTGCTTGAATTTCCTACCATGAAACACAATAAAACCTTCCTTTGAAGTCAACACGTTGCTTCCACTCGGATGCAGATTTTTTTTGTCGTTTGACATAATAATTATGCAGTTCAACCCAACCACGGTAATGTTATATGGACTTTTGCAAACATGCGATAACCATCTTGTAGAATTTTACAAACTGAAACATTTCTTATATGTTCTAGTGTCTTGGCATGTCCCGATCAGAATCCAACAGCTTTACTTTTTGTGAGAAGTTTCAAGTCTCTTGGCAGACATCAGAACACAAAACATTTTGTCAGAGCTGATATTTTTTTTCAAGAAATAATCATGGCAGAGATGACCATATTTGATCTCGTGCTCAAGTTAGAAAGCAAATCTGTTGAGCCTGCTGTCAGTTATGTGTTCATTCTTCACGTTTTCGGAATGTCTTTTATGGAAAGAATTCTCCTATGGAAAAGTGCGGTGATAGCCCTAAATTCTGACACGCATCACCTTTCTCCTCCCTCCTGTGTGCGCAGACTGAGCTGTAAATGTTTCGGCACCCGAGAACTCAGTATGAAGAAGTCAGTGCGGCCTGTGGTGAGTAAGGCGAGTACTGATCGAGGGAAGGCAGAAGCCCCATCTACCACTGGCACCGGAAAGCCTGCAGCCAAGAGTAACAGTGCCGCACCTCTGCCAAAGGTAAGAAGCATCATCTTACTTCATGGCAGCTTTTTTGTAAAAGCAGCTGTTTTACTGTGTGTATCTGAATGTTCTTTTTCTTCTGTTTGCGTTCTCAGGTGAAAAGCAATGATGATCTTTTAGCGGCAATGGCTGGAGGGACTCCCGCATCAAGTAATGCTGTCAGCAAAACCAAGAGAACTGCCTCAGTCGGGACCACTGCTAGCACCGGTGACAACAAGCAAAAAGCACCAGCAGGTGTGTATTATAATGTGCTGCTCTAGTCTAAACAACAGATACGTATATATCGCTTCCCCCTCGTTACACATCAATTGCTGATTCTGTGGTCTTCCTCATATTTATCCTCTTTGCCTTGTAATGGGGAGAAAAGTGCTGATGATTCCAATGTCCAATGATTGACAGGAGCCCGAGATTCGTCCTCTAATTTTCAATTTGCAGCAATGACTGGAGGAGCCCAAAGTGAGTTTTGTTTTGCAGTGTCCAAAAGTACCTGGTGGTCACCATGTGCGTGCGGAGTTAACCCTTTATTTACTTCAGTGGTGTCAAATGTGTTTTTAATCATCGACCAAATTATAGTGATGGTAGCCCTCTGGGAGCTGTTTATGAAGTCACATAACATTTACAATTGAGGAGATGTAAAAAATAAATAAATAAATGAATAAATGAATAAATTAAAAAAAAAAAAATACATTACGGGCCGTTATGAACATTGATTTTAAGTTCATATTCAGTTCATATCATGTACAATAGGGGACAAAATGCGAAACAAACTGCTTTCCTTTAGTGTAAACAGGACCAGATTCAATGTTGATTGTTGCCTCAGTTCACTACTCCCCCCCACTCACCCGCCTCCCTGACCAAAGCAACTCCTGAACATGCACGCATCCTACATGCACTGTTCACAAGCCGACATTAACCAAGTGTTACTAGTGTGCCTTGTTCACGTTGGAAAGTTGCTGGAAAAAAAATTCAGGATACATTGGTTTGAATTCAATTTGCCTGTTTTTGTTTTGTGAAACATGTAACAATATTATATCTTTTTTTTTTGTCTATAAATTAGTTTCCTCAACCAAGCGTATGACATCATCAACTACAAAAGAGCCAAATTCTTCACGAGACCGTCTTCGGACATCCAGGACGTCAGCTAATAAGAAGCAGCTGGTCTCAGGGACAGCAGCAGGCGATGCAGCCTCGGGGAAGCGCTCTCGCAGCCAGATCCTGACGGAGTCCGAGAGCCGTATGAGCAAGTCAAAATCAGATGGCCAGATCAGTGATAAGGTGGCATTGGAGACAAAAGTCAACGACCTCCTTGGACTCGCAAAGAGCAAAGATGTGGAGATTCTACACCTTCGCAATGAACTGAGAGACATGAGGGTCCAGCTTGGCATGGAAAGAAAGGACTCGCCCCTGCAGGAAGAGGCTGAGGAGGGGGAGAAGCCGCATGTCTCGGCCATCACAGCAGCTGACGTCGAGTCCACTCTGCTTTTGTTACAAGAGCAGAACCAGGCTATCAGAGAGGAGCTCAACCTGCTGAAGAGCGAGAATCGAATGCTCAAGGACCGTCTCAATGCGCTGGGATTCTCTCTGGAGCAGAGGCTGGATGGTTCTGACAAGTTACTGAACTACCCATCCGTCAGCCCTGACTTGGCGGCTGGCGGTGGGCAGAGTGAGGGCGGAGCCACCCTGACTTCCTCAGTGGAGGGGTCGGCCCCTGGTTCCTTGGAGGATCTACTCAGTGGTCAACAGCACGGTGGGTCAGTGGACAATCTGGACAGCGAATCCAGTGAGGTCTATCAGGCTGTCACCTCCAGCGACGATGCGCTGGACGCCCCCTCGGGAGCCTCCTCATCCTCCGAATGCGAGTCTGCTCCCAGCAGAGAGCGTTCACGGAGGGGCAGCAGTGGAAATGCCAGCGAGGTGTCAGTCGCCTGTCTTACGGAGCGCATCCATCAGATGGAAGAGAACCAGCATAGTACCGCTGAGGAGCTGCAGGCCACATTGCAGGAGCTGGCTGATCTGCAGCAAATCACCCAAGAGTTGAACGGGGAGAACGAGCGGCTCGGCGAGGAGAAAGTCATCCTCATGGACTCGTTGTGCCAGCAGAGCGACAAGCTGGAGCTGTACGGTCGACAGATAGAGTACCTGCGCTCCTTGCTGGACGAGCATCATGTCTCGTACGTGCTCGAGGAGGACATCAAGAGCGGGCGCTACATGGAGCTGGAGCAGCGCTATGCCGACCTGGCGGATAACGCCCGCTTTGAGAGAGAGCAGCTGCTGGGGGTGCAACAGCACTTGTCCAACACTTTGAAGATGGCGGAGCAGGACAACGCCGAAGCCCAAGAGGTGATTGGAGCCCTGAAGGAAAGGAACCACCAAATGGAGCGCGTCATGGACTCGGAGCGACAAGAACGGGCAGCCATGGCAGCTGCGCTTGAGGAATATAAAGCGGCAGTGAGCAGTGACCAGGCGGAGCTGAGCCGCTGCCGAGCCCAGTTGGACCAGGAGAGGCAGAGGGTTGCTGAGCTCTACTCTCTGCATACAGCGGGGGACAAAAATGATATCTGCCAGCTTTTGGAAAGTGCGCGACAGGGGAAGGAGGAGGCTGAGGCCAAGGCCGCGAAGTTGCAGGATGAGCTGGAACAAGCTCACAGTGACCTTGCCCTACTGCAGGATACTCTGAATAAGGTAAGTTTGACATAGATGAAGGCTAATTATGAAGGCTTCGACTTATAGTCAGTAGTGCCAAGAAAATCCATGTTCATCTTTTACCTTGGTGATTCAAAAATATGTTCTTCCTCCTCACCAGCACGGATAGAAAGAATCTGTTTAACACCGTTGGAGTACGACTAATGAACCCATTGTTGATGTTTTAATGAGTTGAAGTCCGTTTTTCTGTGTGAGCAGCTTGACAGGGAATACAGAGACTTCCAGCAGCAGGTGCAGCAGCAGATGGCTGAGCAAGCGCACGTGCTGGAGAAACAGCGTGTGGAGCTGCAGGAGAAGGAGACGGAGATCGTCGACATGAAGGAAACCATCTTTGAGCTGGAAGACGAAGTGGAGCAGCACCGAGCACTGAAACTACATGACAACCTCATCATCACCGACCTTGAGAGTAAGAACCCTGCGCTCACGCACTCACACACATTGATGCAACATCATGTGTGTGTGTTTTTTGTTTGTTTGTTTCTTACACAGTGTGCGATCTGTAATCAAGGTCCAGCCGACTACATTAGCCTTGAGAGTCAGTGCGTGCGGCTGATTGCAGAAATTGCTACTTACCATAATGTGATAAGATAAACACAAGTACATGGCATGTTACGAGTTTTTTCTTTCAAGTAGAAACTTGGCAGTGGTTGGCTTTCTACTGAGTGATATTCTAGTTTTAAAATGTAATAATGTCACAAAATGTTGAGGTGGTTTTTAAGGAGATAAGCCAAAAAAATGCTATTTTGCCCATCAACATTCCATCCATGAAAACAGACTTGGGACTAGTATCCATGTGGCCAATTTCAAAGAGAAACTCCTGCTTTCATTGACCCTAAAACAAGTTTGTCAGTGGAAGAAAGAACAAACCACAATAATGTTTTTTTTTTTTTTCAAATACACTGCAGGGTTTCTTGTGAACTTAATGGCATCCACGAGAGAGAGAGCGCCGCAAACTAGACAAGATTATCAGAACCATACAGGAGCGTAAAAAATAATTTGCGGTTAAAAGGCCAAATAAAGGATGCTATATACAATCTTGATTCTAAACTGAACTGCCGTTGGGGTTTTTTTGTTTTTTTTGTTTTTTGTTTTTTTTTTTTATTGATTCTAAACTGAACTGCTGTTGGGTTTTTTTTTTTTTTTTTTTTTTTTTTTTTTACTGTGAGAGCAAAGACTTGAGATGAAACGAGGAGTGGAGTTGCTGTGCTGTCTCAATCCGCAAGAATGAAAAGAGAAAATCTGGAAGTAATTTACTAACTTTCTATAAAGAGTATTCTACTACAGTATGGTATGTGTCAGGACCAAGCATGTGGTAGAAGGCTGTCGACAGAGCACTCAGCGAGACGCAGTGTATTGTTTGTGCAAAGCAGCAGCTTGTGGCTACGGAGAGATAAGGGTGGTCTGTTTATGTTGCATATTAGCTGGGCTGAAGTTGTCGTTAAATTCCTCGCCTAACTGCAAACGAGCAGGATGCCGATGCTTGCCTTTGCTCTTGAGGACTATAGTATTTATTTGATAAATAGTTTTAAGTACACATGCTGCACTGTGACTTTCACAAATATGAGGTTTTCATTCACACTGGTAACTCTCACACTGATCAACCCAAATGTTGCACACGCAATCCCCAAAGTTTCCCTTGTGGTAGAACGACACACCATAGCACCCCGTTGTGTCTGTCAAGCCTAATTTCGATATCTTGTGTATTGTATGGCCAGCTCATTCAATGTATTAACCGACACTTTCTTTTACAGACTCCGTAAAGAAGCTACAGGACCAGAAGCATGACATGGAACGAGAGATAAAGATCCTTCATCGCAGACTCAGGGTAAGTCAGTTCACCTTTGACTGGTATCTAAATGGCAAATAGTGAGGACACAATTATTTTCATTTAGCATATCATTATGACCTTTCTGAGTTGAAATCGTACAAGAATGACATTGTACTGTGATGAGAACAAAGTTATACTCTTACGAGAAAAGGCCATCTTTTATTTGGGGATAAACGTGTAATATTATGAGAATAAATCCATGTTAAGAGGAGGACTAGTGAAGAGTTTGTGAAATCATTTTTGGGGGGAAGGGGGTCACAAACAATGCAATCAATCTTTTGGAATCCTCACATCATTAGCATTTCCATGTGATTGGACAAACATTCTTCCCTTTTCCCAGTGATAAATGTGTATTTAACAGGATCCACCCATAGAAATCCAGCCATATTTAGCCATCTCAGCGAGCAGACATTTTGACAATTTCTGTCGAGTGAAAATGACATTACAGCTGCTCAGGGCTCATGTAACGAAACAATCATGGCTCAACTTCAGAAAACAGGTGAGCCGTTAAAATGTCCGCCCCCTGAGGTGGCTAAAAATGGGTGGATTTTGCTGCTTAATCCGTATTGAACAAATGCAATTATAGCCAGAATGACGTGTTTTGACGAATGAAGGCGCATAGAACATATTGTGAAGAAAATGTTTGGGTTGACTTCCAGTTTAAGCACTGAACTTAATTTTATATATCTCATAACAAAAAAAAGGTTATCTCGAACATAACACTAAGATACTTTATGCGAGACAAGGGAAAGAGCCGCAGTTTACAGGTGTATCTGCATTACTGCCCACGTAAAGATGTTAAATGTCACTTGCCTCACAGGAGGAGTCGATGGAGTGGCGTCAGTTCCAAGCAGACCTGCAGACAGCTGTGGTCATTGCTAATGATATCAAGTCAGAAGCGCAGGAAGAGATTGGAGACCTGCGGCGCCGACTGCAGGAGGCCTTGGAGAAGAATGACAAGCTGAGCAAGGAGCTGGATGAGGTCAAGAGCCGCAAGTAAGTCACAGAAAAAAAACAAAACTATTGGACAGATTTGGGCTTCTTGGATATTCAACTACCGTTTAGCGACACCATCACTCATTCGTCTCACCAAAAAAAAAAACAGTAAAGACATTATTATTATTATTATTATTGCCTTCCATTCACGAAATATTGAAGTCTTTGGCTATTTTTCTATTGTCTGAGTATGCTGTTGATATTATGTAGAGTATGCTTATATATTTTTCCAGACAAGAGGAGGAGAGAGGCCGAGTGTATAACTATATGAATGCAGTGGAGAGGGACTTGGCCGCACTCAGACAGGGGATGGGTCTGAGTCGTCGATCTTCCACCTCTTCCGAGCCTTCACCAACTGTTAAAACACTCATCAAGAGCTTCGACAGTGCCTCGCAAGGTAGGTAGCACAATTTGCATCAACAACAATTTTTCCTGATCGTTTGTTCATGCGTTGCTCTCCAATCCTCTTTAAAAAAAAATTGGTGTTGGGGACTGCATTTTCTTGTCAAAATGTCCCCAAAGCTGACGATCCACTCCTGACATGCTGTATCATAGTAAATTTTAGCCACATTTAAGCAGAGCTCCAAGCAACTAACTTTGTTCTTGGAACTTCAAGCACCACCACCTTCCAGTACTGCCACTGTGACTCCAACAGCGTCAGCTGCTCCACTACCACGCACCCCTCTCAGTCCTAGTCCAATGAAGACTCCTCCGGCTGCTGCTGTCTCACCTATACAGGTATAGGCAAAGTTTTCCAACTATATTTTCTGTAAATGGAACTGAAAGCCAAACATAAATCCATCAAAAAAGTGATGCGATGCATTTCAACGTATCTGCAATTTTAAAAAACTGGGTTTTTTTTGGCCTGTTCTGATACTGCCTAATATGGAATAGGCCTCCCTTGTTAGGTAGACACTTCTACTAGCATTGAGGTCTTATTGTTTGTGTGATAAAGAAAACTAAATTTGTATATTGGAGAGCACTTAACTCGGTGGTGTCAAACAGGCCGGAACCGGCTCCCTAGGAGGTTCGATCAGGCCCACAGGATCATTTAAAAGTGAAAAAATGCATTAAAGACACGGGATTAATATTTTTAATAAGGTGCAATTCATGGAGTGTTTTGATCAGAGAAAAAGACAACCCGCAGTCTCAGTCTGTCACTGAGACAGACCCAACACAGCAGACGCTATCAAGGATATGTGAATACTTTATTCTTTACACATTTAATACCACTGTCCTTAGTTTGTAAGGTATAGGCAGGGATTAAATTTAGATTGTATATGCACATGTGTAAATGGTTTCAAAATTCCTTTCTTTATAAATCTCATTTAATCTTAAAGTGCATTACTATATTTTTCAATACCAATTACTTGTTTTGTGCCTTTGTACAATCAGTGGGATCAGTTGCAATGCATAGATGTGAATGATCAAAGTAAATTGCACATTTGTCTAAGGAAATCTACGATGCTTCATGAAATCTTTTGCAAAAGATAGGTTCATTAATACATTTGAGTATTTTCCTAATGTTCTTGTGCTTCTTTAGACAAAACAAAGGAAAGACATATTATTTTGGTTATATATAGCAGAGTATGGTATCATTTTAATGGTCTGTCCCACTTGACATCTACAGAGGCCGTATGTGGCCCACAATGTGAAATGAGTTTGACACCCCTGACTTAACTTGATCAAGACTCTCCGTTCTTTTTCAGAGGCACTCTGTATCCACATCGCTGTCAGCTCCCAAGACGCTATCCCCCCTCAGTGACAAGAGGACCAGCTATTCCGACATCTCCCTGTCATGTAATATTCTTTATTGTACCACATTTCAGGAGTCGGTTGCTTTCAAAATCGAATCATGTAACGTCTTTTGAGGGCACACGGCACCTTAATGTACCATTGCTTGGCAAGTAACAAGCAATAGTAATTAACAACATTAATATTATTGCACACCTCGCATTGAGAAATAAGCAGTAGTTGCCATTCGGTAGTGTGTTAGGAAAACACAATGACTTATTGAGCTTCCTGAGAAAATCTTGCTCAAGTGATGATAATGTTTACAATTTCCCTTCAGTAGCCAAATGTTTTGTAAACAAAAGTGACACTGTCCATGTTATTGGTGATTTGATGTTTCCTCCTTTTTGTATCTCATATACAGTTTGTGTTTCCGTGGTCAGGGTAGTCTGACACATGGTGTGTGGGTTTTTAAAACACAACTACAGACACTATTTCAATACTGCTAGTTCTTCTCAGCTTTTAGAATACTGAATGTTGGAACTGTGTCATTGTTTTGGGTTAAAAAAAAAACACACACACAGCCTGTCTTCACATCAAGTAGCAGTTAGTTTTCGTCCTAATCTATGTGGAAGGTAATTTCTTTTCAAGCCATCATGATACAGTATCTACAAATCAACAGCAGTTTAGTGTGCGTTTGATAACTGACATAGCTAACGAGTCATGAATATTATCAACCACTAGAGCAGTGGTTCTTAACCAGGGTTTGGTGAATCAGTCTCAGAACCGGTTGAGTTCGGTACCTCGAACAAGGTTAAGAACCACTGCACTAGAGTATTTGGCCATGGCAATGACTTTGATCCTGTTCTTGGTGTCACAAGCCAGTGCCTCATCAAAATGATTTTGAAGAGAAAATACAGATACAGTCCATCCTGTATGATTGCTTAAAATGCCACATACTTAAGTCTGTGTACTTATAATCATGACAAGCTCAGGAGTATGTTAACAATTTCAGGGATAGCGGTTACCACAGTAGACAGCTAATCATGTTATCAGGTTACAGCGTGCATGAAAGGGTTAATGTATCAATCGCAGGTTTGAACAGAAAGCCTCTCATTTGTAATTTATTGTCATGACTATGAAGGACTGACTCATTACGCAAAGTAAGAGACCGTTTGGGGATTTAATTCATGGCTGGTTTACTTTCACACTGACTTCAGATTCCAGTTACTGCATTCGTTCTGGCTAGAGTGGTATTATGAACCTCTACATCCTTCGAACTTTACTCAGTCCTCTTACTGGCAAGTGTTTGATGTGAATAGTGTGTACGAGGGCCAAAGCCTTTGTTTGATTCGGCCTGGGAGTTGCTACTAATTGTTGGTATTCTGTACACTCAGTGGAATTTGAATGTGACTATTTACTGAGCTCTTAAACAGTAATTTATGTCAGCAATAAAAATACAAATAATTTTGTCTTTACAGCTGAGCACCTTCTCAGAGGAGCCCCAGCCAGTCGACCGCCTTCTGTCCTCCAAAGGGTCTCCAACATGGATTCCACCAAGACAATTTCAGGTTGAATAATGTATTCAGACGGTGCACATTTAACCATATCGTCGGTATACTTTTTCCAGGAATCAATCTTTCGCGCATGTTCTTAAGCAGTGTCCCGCCGGAGTAGTGAAGAGATAAAGAGGGACATGACAGCCCAAGACGGAGGCTCCTCATCGTCGCTGATGGTCATGAGTGCCGCCTCTTCTCCTCTCTCAATGTCCTCCGCCTCTCCCACGGCCTCCGTCACTCCCACGGCGCGTAGCCGTCTAAGGTACAAACTTAACCACATCTTGTCAAAGGCTTACAAACGAAAGAAAGGTTCCTAAGCAAGCACACTCCGAACTCTGTTGTTTTTCTTGAAAGAGAGGAACGAAAGGACCCACTATCTGCACTGGCCAGAGAGTATGGAGGCTCCAAGAGAAACGCTCTGCTGAAATGGTGCCAGAAGAAAACCGAGGGCTATCAAGTAGGTTAGGTGGTCCCGGAAACCACCCAATGTGATTCAAGAATGATTGTTTTGGGTTTTTTTTCTTTTTTTTTTTTTTTAATGCATTTTGGAATTTGGGAATCGGGCCAAAGTAAAATCACACAATGGCTATTTCAAGGTACTTAACATATAGAGCAGGTTTAGGATCATGTCCCTGTGTAAAAGGATTATTCAGAGGACAAACTGATATTTTGACTGCCTTTTTACAGGCAGTCAAACTTTAATTCTTACTCATGCAACAGCAATTTGGGGTTTTGCTGAGTAAACATCTGTTTTTCTGTAAAGTCCAAGTAAAATGTGCTTTCGTTAAATGTACGGTATTTTAAAGTCGATAGCAAAATGATAAATCGGTTTTGTGCTGTGACAGAATTGAGCAAGACAGTAGAGACCAAGTCTGAGATCACGGCATGATCAAATATGTTGCTGCGTGTGGTTAAGTTGCCTCATTTTTGCCTGACGTGCAGCAGGTATAATAAGCATTTCTGTATTAGCCGACTTCTTAAGGGAGATAATGATTCGGAGAGTTATGGGTGTCATGGCGCGGTGCACCTGAGGTCCTCTCCAGGAAGTGCTCGATATTGAGCAAAGTGACTTGACAAAAAACATGACGCGTAGCACGATCTAATACAGTCTAGTGGACAATAACGCTTGTGGTTTTTGTGCTTTGAAATGACCGGTAAAGTCAAATAAATGAGTTTGTTTGTTTTTCGTGACCCTTTAATGTTTAATGCTGTCGGCATTCAGGAAAGAAGTCAAAACATCCTCACCATCACCATTATTCTATCATGTGCTGCGCCTTATATTTCTCGCTTTAATGAAGAAATATCTGGCTCACATGAAACTGTTGCTATGGTGACATCCACACTCATCTTTTTGCCTCTTGTGTTTCACTTTCGGCAAATTACAATACAGTCAGGGAATATTTGGCTTCTGCGTGCAATCTCTGGATGAACCTAAAATGCACTGCGCTTAATTGGTCTGCTTGGAAGAGAAGCCGTATTAGTTTACAAGACTGTGTTTGAATAATTGCCTTGCCTTCCAAAGTCCACTCAACTTTATAAATTCAGTTTAAGAGTGAGTATGGATTCATATTCTGTTGTTTCTGTTTCCAAAATGCGTGATTTGCTTGATGTTGATGAGATGCCATGTGTTCCAGAACATTGACATCACCAATTTCAGCAGTAGTTGGAATGATGGTCTGGCATTCTGCGCTGTGCTTCACACCTACTTGCCGGCCCACATCCCTTATCAAGAGCTGACCAGCCAAGACAAGGCAAGCACAGATTGGAGGGAAAGCACATCCTTAAAACCCCGAAATGCTCAAATAAAAATAGTTGGTTTGTCTTTTTTTTTTTTTTAAATGACAGAGGAGGAACTTCACCTTGGCGTTCCAGGCTGCAGAAAGTGTCGGGATCAAATGCACTTTAGTAAGTTTTGATATGAAGTGAATTTGACAAAAACGTGTTTGTTTGTTTTTTGGGACAAAAATGTTCTGCTTCCCATCAAGAAAAGCGACCATCTGTAATATGCTGCTATATCACCCATCAAGTCAAGCCCCCTGGGGTACTTAATGGAAGAGGCAGCACTCTAACATGCTCCATAGCATCAATGCCTCTTGTGCAAGAGATAAAAAAATATTTAGTCTACACAAGACAGCTATTTTATATCTAACAGTGAAAATATGGAAGCATGTTCGCTCATTTTGCCTCGACAGGAAATGCCTCACACCACTGAAAATATATTTTGTGGAGAACTGTGGCCAGGGTTCTAAGTTGACTTTGTATTGCCGTTATTTTATAGTCGGGAAACATGTTGTTTCTGTTGGTCAAAGTCGCACTGCCTCTAGTCTCGGGGGTCCTCAATTTGTGATGTAGTTCCGTACCCCCCAGACCCTACCTGGATTTAAACACGCAGTCATAATTACAGAAAATATCTGCCTAAAAATAGGGCTTGTTGGCCATAAATGTAAAACTGTCGAAAATGAATAATTGAATAAAAAATTTAAAAACATTTAGCACAATGGAAACTGAGCTTGTTGAGCAACGTGACTGCATAATTTTATGCCGCTGAGCAAACTAGCTCAAACGCTGCTGTTCTTAATGTCAGTGCCATCGTAAACATAATTGAATTTCTTTCAACTGACTGATAAAAAGCAAACGTGATATTTAAAGTAACTCAGTTCATCTGTTCTTTTTCAATCACTTGTCCTCAAGTCACTATTGTTGTCCTTGTGCCCAGTCTGAGTATTGCTTTGTAAGCCCTCTAATTGGTTACAACATGACTTTAAGCGATCGGACCCCCACCCGGTGATTTGGAATGCATAATTTGAAAGACTGCAAATGTTTTCTTGGCGTGGACATGGAGCCAGATTTTATTTGGGAGATGATGTTGAAATTACTTTTCAACATGTGGACGTAGTCTAAGCCAGTGTTTCCCGACAGTGACTTAGCCAAGGCACATATTTTACATGCGAAAAAAAAAATCTCACTGCACAACACCAAACAATAATGTCACAAAAAGTGTAGAGTGCCGGTATATTCTGAAAGAATACTCTTCTCATCTCAGTTTCCTCGCAAATGCTTCCACAATGTGCAGTTCGGGCTGTTTAGTTGAACGCAATGTCGCACATTATTTTGTTTTATGAATGGTGATAGGGGGATACACAGGTTAAATGGACCTTCTGCCGGTTTATGGAAGAGCCGTTCTGCCTCTCACTATACATCCCCCTGGTACAGAAAGATGAACAAAAATACATTATTTGTCAGAAATAAAAAACATTTGTCAGTCAAATTAAGGGAAATTGGATTATTTTCTTTGCCCCACCTGACAACCTTTCGCTCGTGTGCCGCGACAAAGTAGTTGTAAATCACTCTCTGAGCTAACTGCGTAGTATTCCGTTTGACAAAACCACTGACGCTCAACTGTCAATTTTGTGGCTTTTGCAGGACATAAATGAGATGGTGCACACCGAGAGGCCAGACTGGCAGAGCGTCATGACTTACGTCACAGCTATCTACAAATACTTTGAGACCTGACTAAAGGTTGCTGCTGCTACTGGGCCGCACCTCAACTTCACCCCAACATCACAACTGTACCTCGCTGGATACCGCCGCCGCCACCCACCGCATTGCATGTTCAGCGTCATTTTCAGTAGTTTGAAACACCAAGAGCAGACCTCGATCTGAAAGGAAACACACACTCGCACGCAAGTGTTGCCTGTATGCAGTGTCACGATGAAGCCTTGAGAAGTGAACCAAGTATGAGCTGACTTCTTACACTGAAGAAACACGCCTCAGTGCCTTCTGCCTACATTTCCCTTTTGCAAGCAATTCTGCTCGACACTTTGCCCAGATGTTTGCTCATTAGCAAACAATAAAACAAGTGCGAGGCCCAGCTCTTCCCTATTATGATGGTGAATACATTGAGGCAACATCGGTTACGTATCTGTAACATATCATATCAGCACAATTGGAATTCCCTCAATCCTTTAACTAGAGCTCAGGCAGCTTTATTTTTTTATTTTTATTTTTTTGCAGTATTCCAGATGTTCATGTATGGTCTCAGATGCCTTTGTTTGAGAGGATCAAGTGCCTGTGTGATGAGTAATGCCTGACACCAGCTCAGACCTCCTGAGAGCCAAACCCTGAAGAGTTTCTTTTCACTACAACATATGAAGATGAAGATCAGGTCCAATACTGTAGCCGACGTTGCAGAGGCTTTTTTTTTTTTTTGCTTAATTTATGCTGGTTGCCGTGTATGACAGGGTTCTGCTACAGTAACAAATATCTGATTACGAGGGGCTCTCTCATTTTGAAGCATAAAAAAAAAAGCCCGACACACTAAGAGGCGTTCAAGCGCCAATTCTTTTGCTGGGTTTTCAGTTATAGGGGTGTGAAATATGTTAATGTGTGGGTTTTAATATCAAGTTAACACTGCATAATGTTTGGTTGTGAGCATTGGGGTGTGATGTGAATGATAAAATTAACGGTGCTGACAGCACTTATGCAAGATCCTGGAAAATTCTATTGGAATGAATTGAAATTGAATAATTCATGATTGGAAATTAATTCCCACAGAAAATGACCTTCTCTTCCTCAGCAAAACGTACAATGAAAAGTTTCCAGAATCTTGATATAATTTTTTTTTTTTTTTTTTTTTTTGCTTTTTCCTAAGTCACACATTTGATGACTGTACACTCATTTGGGAAGAAGCATTGTCAAAATGAAGTCAGAGCCTGAGGATTGTTTACTTAGCTTAGCAACAATGCTAAAAGGCTAAGCAAACTAAAGACCGCAAAGCCGTGGAGATCCTCCTTCCGTCACTTATGAGGGCCACTAACGCACATTTGATCTCATTTATCCAACAACGTTATGTGTGAATATGTGAACTTTCAAAGAGCTATTATTTTTAACGTTTTGCCGACATCACATATAGAAGGCTAGCTGTTTCACTGTGCTTAATGAAAGCTAAGCTAACAACTCATTGGCCTCATTCTCCCATTTATGGGATGAATTGTCCACAAATAGCTCATTTACATGCTCCCCCTTTATGTTCAGCGTGTTAGAAAACATTTTATTATGTTTGTTAAACTTCCTACTGTGACTTAACATTATTTTAGAGATGCTGAGTATACATTGGTGTGGCACTGATGTCCATTGTGCCAGCGACATGACTATCTGGCTACTGTGTGTCAATTGTGCCTCAATTTACATGTTGAGTTTATTTATTTGGATTTTTCCAATCACTGTATTATTATTTGTGTGCGTGTGTGTGTGTGTGTGTGTGTGTGTATATATGAGTATCTGAAAAGATTTGTTACAGTACAAGAGGCCGCTGCACCTATGAAAAGCCGTTTGCGCATTTATTGATATTATTTGCATCCGTTACACTCTTTGTCCTAATTTACTGCACTTGTAGTGAAAAAAAAATGCTACTAGTGTTAAATAATGGTTCAAAAGTAGGGTCAAAATGTTAACTAGTGCACAGTTTTGCCTCATTAGTAACAAGTAGTTAGCCTACCAGTATCCCAAAGTTGTCCTACAAGTGAATACAAAGCATATCCTAGTACATGGGCCTGTGGCTGGATATCAAGTAAGCGTTTATTGCAGGTTACTGGTACATGAGACGTGGTCTAACTAGTTGTGTCTAGTGCAGCAATTTCATTTATGTATCAGGTTGAATTGTGCACCTGGAGAACAGCGGTGGCACAATTGTGGTGAGGAAAACAATTACTAGTGCTTTACTGTAGTTCTATGACTAGTTCTACTAGTGCGTTGAATTAATCTACTAATGACACAGAGCGTACTAGCGTATGGATCTTAAAATGGATATTGAGTAAATGCTCCAAGGGCTTTGCATGTACGCCTGGTCAGCTTCCCCGCCACCCCCCAACTTCCTGCTCATGTCTTGCCTTAACTGTTTAGCTTTTGAGAGCGTTAAACTTGCAGTTTTCTTCCCACACGGTGTGGAAAATGGATGAGCGTGCCTCTTGAGAAACACTAATAAGGTCTTTTGGCAAGGCAGATTGATTTGATCAGTGTGTATGGTGTGCATTACTGTGTATGCTGATTTGGGTCAGATGAGGCTGCCAGCTGCTATCTATAGCAATGTAGTTGTTTTCATCTTGGATGCTATTGCAAAACCCGCATCCCTGCCATCTGTACAGCGGCTTAGACATCCAGTCATTTAGCACCAGCGACAATTTTGTGGACCGGAATGTGTAAATGTGGGATATTTAAGTGCATTTGAAAGCATCGGGCCAACACTTTTATAGTGTACTGCTCGATTCCATTGCTGAACTCCGTGTTATTATTCCCACCTGGATTGTGTGGGAGCCACAGGAACAATTGGATCCTCTCTCTTGCTCTAAGTGAAATATGTTTGCGCTTGCTTGTTTGGAGCAACTGATGAACACTCAATCCAGCACGGGCGCTACATTCCACCTCCACATGTTTCAGCCACAAAAGAGAGAGCAAGCTAGAGAGTGAGCAAAGAGACGTTGCATTGCAGGGCCTTCCATGTGTGATGATGGCCTCTCGAAGCAGGAAAGCAAATGTGAACAGTGCTTTGGTTCTTTACTGGATCTGCATCATGTTTTGCTTGCCTTGGTTTACTTGAAAATGCTCTGAGAATTCCACTGAACCGACTAGGTTTTGTTTTTTTTTGTTTTTTTAACTTCATGTTGCCAATAAATCCAATATTTTCTTTTCCAGTTCATTCCTTTTTTAATAGTGTGGAATGTTTGGGGTTTTTTTTTCAATTCTGATCACAATTCATGTTGTACCTAATCTTTACTTCTAGCGTGAGCTCTAAATTGTGTGTGTTTGTGTGTGTAAACGTGCAAGAGAGAGACTGCAAAATTGAATCTTTTCATTCTTAAAATCCAACAATCATTGTGTCATTGTTACTGCAGGTTTTATCTCATTAGACAACGACAAGTCCAGTCAGTCTAGAAGTGTTTGGACAGTTGAATGATTTTGCTGTACACCACCACAACATATTTGAAATGCAAAAAAAACCTAATAGAGATTATTTATGTGCGTTAATGAAATTATTTTGTGAGAAATTGAATTATTTACCACGTTGGAATAACAGCCATTTGACATCCCTACATAATTTGCAATTACAAAGATACGCATTTCAGAGAATAGCTGTTACATTATCAATGAATAGCATTAAATTCCTGTTCCTTGACCAGCCATACATGCCAACGCCATCACTTTGCCTCCACCATATTCGAAACATGATGAGGTATATTTTGGATCATGTTGAACTGTTGCGTTCTTTTGCTTTATGCTTCCATTCCCAGGGAAGCTAAATTGACCTTTGTTGCCCTTGGATTGGAGTCCACAATATTGGAGGCTTTCAAAGCAGAGGATACTCTGGCTTTCCGGTACTTCAGGGTTGCTGCTGCTTCTCATTTTTGTCATCTAGTTTAAGATAAAACTGAAGATGACAAAACACAAAAAACAAGCAGTGGGAAAGGACTTGCGAAGCATTTTCAGTAAGGAACCTCAGATTTTCATGGCAGTAAAAAAAAAAAAATCTGAATCATATTGACTGATAGTTGGAAATCTACTTCACTAACATATTGACTGGTTTAGAACAAATTCATATGGTTGTGTAAGAAGGCAAAAGAATAAAAACATTCACCGACCAAATATTTCGCGAACCAAACTTTCCGTTCAGTCTTATAATTCAATTCAAGGGAACATCAAGGGATTCCAATAAAAGACATGAGCCATCGTAAACAATAAAATCAAATGTTCTATTACGGTTTGGCGCCCAGGGTGGGAAAAAAAAGCATGTCTGCATGAATAGTTGGCTCGTCTCTGGTGTCACACTTGAAAGTGTCATAAAGAGATAGGCACACATCTGCCCACGGAGCAGGCTTTTAGCTAAGCCTTCACTCAACAGCAAACCGCCATACGGCGCATGTAGAGAGGGTGTGCCTCTTTTGTTTGAGAAATTGAACTTAAAAAAAAAAAAGTTATTGATCAGTGATATTCGCACTGAGAGCAGGGAAGCTGCAGGGCGACGGTGTTAGACCACATCTGCATGATTGCTTTTGGACAAGAGAGAAATCAGGTATGTTGCTTTTATTACATACACACAGCAAATGTAACAAACACAGGAGAGCACAGGATATTTGCGCTTTTAAACAACACAGGCAAAGAGGGACTCAGTTAATAAAATAGGGGGCACGATACATGGCGTGGGGACACATGTTTTATGGCTGGATGTGAAGGTGTACCTCATGGAGTCTCCCAGGAATGTAGTTGTCTTGCAAATTGAATTGGATATGATTTCATTCAAAGGTCAATGACATCATTTTTTTTTCATCAGGATGTGTATTTGTATAAGTATGTATGTCATATAGAAATGCATTCAATAAATATTGTGCTTTATCCACACATTCACAGTGATATCATACATTGTATTCAGAAAAAAAGAAAATAAATCGTCCTTGGTTTCATCTACAAATACCATCGCATGTCTGGGTGGGACATAAATGAGGCTAAGGTTTAAAGTTTGATCCAAAACTTTTGTCAACTTTCTTGACATGTTGCGTGACACCATGTAAATGGAAATTCCCCCAAGTGAACATTGTCTGTAAATCCCCCAAATGGCACAGTCACAGCCAACGTATGCTATTTTACATTGCTGTACGTCAATCATTCAATCAGAGCACACTGCATGCCTCTCATCCTAACCAAAATGTGATACACGTTCATTTTTTTTAAGCAGAGCATCTTTTAAAGAGTTACAGATGGGAAAAAAAAAAGATGACAATGGAATGAAAGCGCATGTCAACACCATTTGCATTTATGGCCTGAGAGGCAGGTGTGGTGAACCACAGTGACAGCTCACTTACGTTCCCTTTCGCTTCCTATTGTAGACATCTGCCACCTGTGGCATCTCTATTTTCTCAAGTATCTTGTAACTTTGCATGTCATGTACGGTAAATGTTTTTCTTACTTATTCATCGCCGTTGATTTGATATCCATGGAAATTCAACCATTAGATCAGTATGAGTGCTGCGCATCTCTCTCTCTCTCTCTCTCTCTCTCTCTTTCTAAATATATTTATATATTACAGTATATATGCTTACATATATTAGACAATGCATATAATTCTTCAAGTCTAAGTAAATAAGAAGATTTAAATAAACCTAAATGTTTATTTTGGACATCGCCCATGTAATGCAAGATTGTGTTGCACATTTCCTTCATTGTCAAAGCATTTCCTCTTTGTCTGCTCTACAGCAAACTAGAGTGCTCCAGCGGTGTGCGTTGCTGGTAACATCTCAGCCCCTTGAGAGATTTCATGGGAAAAATCCACAGAGGGGAAGGACCGCAGAGGAGAGTTTTTGGCAAGAGAGGATGCAACTGTTGTGGTCTGGCGTTTTGTGACGAGGACTTCCTCCGCCGTTGGGTCGAGCTTCTTATCAGCAGTTAGAGGTGACGAACACGCGGGAATGAGTGTTGGCGTCGGATGCCGAAGGTCGGAGGTGAAGACGCTGAGCTCAGTGGTTGCCAGGCCTTAACTATGGTAGTTGAGGTGAGGCCTCATCCGTCCTCATCAATAAAAGATCCTCTTTTCTCATCATGCTGAAAAACCCCGCCGCATCTGCGCCTTACATCGTGGTGGAGCTGCTGATTGCCATCTTTTCCGTGCTGGGCAATGTGCTGGTCTGCTGGGCCGTGTTCCTCAACAGCAACCTGCAGAGCAACACCAACTTCTTTGTGGTGTCACTGGCTGTGGCTGATATTGCCGTGGGCGTCCTGGCCATTCCCTTCGCCATTGTGATCAGCATCGGCTTCTGCTCCAACTTCTATGGGTGCCTCTTCATCGCCTGCTTCGTGCTCATTCTCACCCAGAGCTCCATCTTCAGCCTGCTGGCCATCGCGATGGACCGCTACATTGCAATCAAGCTCCCGCTCAGGTTAGTTTTGGTTCATCTCTTTGATTGAAGAGCTACCGACATTTTCAAAGCTTTAGTAACAATTTTTTTTTTTTTGGTACTGAGATCCTGCGTTCAAAAGAATGCCAGTTTGTTGGGTAGTTGTGGTGTTAGGGTACAGGAGACAATACCAAAATTTGCATTTGCATCGGGACATAAGGCAATGCATCTCCCGTGTTCGTCCGACTGAGGTGCCTTTGAGCAAGGTACCACCCAACACCAATTGCTTGGAAAGCTGCTACACATGTCACTTTTGGTGCGGAAGCTCTGAATACAGACGTCACCTTTCCTTAAACGGAGGTAAAAAAGGGAATGGAAGATATTTTGGAGATAAGATTGTCAAGCGTGAATGTGAATTCTGACTACGGGAATTCCGGTTCACATTTGTTGTAATAAATGGCTGATCATACATTTCAATGTACAGCGCTTAACGGATTTGTGAGAACGCCAATTATGAAAAGCAAAAAGGGAACAACCAGCATCATAAAGTGCTGTCATACGGACTTTCAATTTATGTGAGCTTTCAATGTTTTACGATTTTGAACGCCAATGGGGAATTTTGAACTGAATCCATCTTTTTTGTTTTTACAAAACAATTGTGATCCGTAAGCTTGCGTGAGAAGTCAAGAATTCATCAAGAATAACATTCAAGCACTTGAATATTGTTTTTTTTTCTGTTAAGAAAGGCAAGTAAATAACAATAGGCTGACCCAATACGCTTTTGGAAAAATTTGTATTGACTATTATTTCAGGTTTTTGGTTGTTTGTTATAAAACAGTGAATTGTAAATATCAATGATAAGAACAAGAGTTATATTTTATGATTTAACATAAATAGAAGGATCGTTCTCAGGCACCTGTAGAGCTTGCCGGTGAGCAGATCATTTGAATCAGGTGTTGGAGGAGGGGAAACATCGAAAACATGCAACATAGGGGCCCTCGAGAACCGGAGTTGGTGACCCCTGTTATGGAAGACATGCTAGATCAGATGCTAAAAGTTCCGTAGCTCTTTCACAATTGTACAAACGATTGCATTTTAGGGGTTTGAGTACATTTCAAACTGTTAGCAACGGGGAAAAGGTCAAATCGACTCATTTTGCCGTTATTCTTGTATGATTTCTAGCTGAAAGACACCCATTCAACCAATACAAACTGCCTACATACGATTACAGCGTGCATTATTGTTCACTTCACTCTCCCATCTGCTGTCGATGTGGGCCTGAGACTGGAGCCACACTAACAAGTACTGTACAGTCAAACCTCGGTTTTCGAACGTCTCGGTTCTCAACCAATTCGGTTTTCGAGCAAAAATTTCGAGTTTTTTATGCCTCGGATGACGAACAAATTTCGGTTCTCGAACAAACTGAGCGCACTTGAATGCACCATTTGACTCCTCTCGCCTTCCTTACATGAGGAAGTGACGCTTCCTCGTGTTGCTTTCCATTGTGAGCAGACATGTTCAATAAACATTTTTATTTTAAAAAGAGCGTGGTTTCGGTTTTCGAACAATTGGGTTTTCTAACAGCCTTCTGGAACGGATTATGGACGAAAACCGAGGTTTGACTGTACTTGACATCCATCCATCAGTGGCAATGAGACATTTGAACCCCAAAGTCACAGCTGAGTGTGGCCAGAAATGGCCTCCCCCATGAGGCCGTGTCTCCCTGGAGTAATCAACTGCGTTTGGCTCTAATTGCTTCCGCAGACGAGATCAAACACTCGTCTCTTCACATGTCCAGCGTGTGAAGGCATTGTTGAAACACATTTCAGCTCTGACCTTTTTTTTCCTGTTGTAACTTCTGAGACCGCATTGTGTTTCCTGTTTCCATGGCACAAGCAGACACCCTCCACACGACTGGTATACAATTGACAGCTTCTCCGCGTTTGCTTTTCTGACAGAGGAGGAGGGCCGCTGTTGTTGTAACACTGACATTTGCACTTTAACATCTGCAGAATGCGATCGGAACCAACCAAACGTTTCAGCTGCTCTCCCACACTGTGCAGCATGCGCCCTGAAAATAGACTTAGAAGAACTTACAGACTTGTTTGTTTAGCCCTCCCCCTCCTCTTCAAGCCCAGGAAGAGACCTTGTTGTGATTCATACCAAACTTAGACATTTAGAATTACAGCGCTGTCCACCCTCGATGAGATTAGTCTTGGAAATTGGAAGCGGTGGCAGGCAGTGCATTTAGTACCTGTGCCTTGAGTTGGCGCCTACTTCACTTCGTAACACCACCACTGTCACGTTGCAGTTTTAGAAACCATCAATACTACACATTTACGCAAAACATACAAGCAAGCAACTGTGCTCAAAACATCCTCTGGAGCAATTCGGAACCAATATTTATCAACTAACAGGACAAAACAATAAAATACTGAATTCGAATACATCTTACTGACCAGCGATGCTGATGATTGATGGTTAATTAAAGGCAATTATGTATTCGGATCGCTAAAGATGTGTTTTGCTTGTCGAGTTTGGGTTGCTTTGGCCAGCCTATCAGATGATGGACAAATGCTGATGTCATCAAGGGGGCAGTTCACTTGAAATTTGATTGGTTGCTCAGAAAGTTGAACATTGGCCGGCACTACTGTACTGATTATGAAGGCCCGAGTCAGATTCGGTTGAAATGACAACGCATCGAAGCTGAAATGCGATTCGACGAAAATTCGAACACCCAAATACATGCAGTGGAAGCAATGCACTCTCTCTTCTAGTGTTTTCATTTGTAGAATTTCATCATTTAGATAGCATGAATCTGTGAATTTTAAAATCAATGACATTGCATATTCCCCAAGCTCAATTGAGTTAAAGTTAATGAGTTTAATTTCCATTTGGTTGACCAAAATATTTCAGTACATCTTCGGTCCACATTTCCGGTATGTAGCAGTAATGCAACTTGTTTGTCAACATCATTTTTGAAATTGAGAAAAAGACGAAGGACTTTCCCACCATGCCTCGCTGCATTTGTAAATCGTTGTAGCCTTCTGTAGTTTTGGGTAGAACTAATGACATGTTTCCATGTCGTTAATGTTAGTACTTGTTTGTGTTCACCTGATGTGTAATAGGAGTGGTGTGTGTTTTACTCCCATTTTTGGCATAATTTTTTGGTTTTTGGTTTAATGACTCCCCTAATCGTTAACAAATCCTGATTAATTAGATAGGATGCTATTGGCTACTGTTAGTTTATATAATAAGTCCTAAATATGTGTAGCATTATTGGTGCAGGCCAAATGCAAAAAAACAAACAAACAAACAAAACTCCATCAAGAAATCTCAATAAGGTTTTGAAATGCGTTGGTATCTGAAATACAAAAATGTTATGCATATCAATGAAATAGCATAAAGTGCATGAACCTCTTTCAAATAATTTTGATTTAAGTGATGAAGACATGGCGGCGCGGTGGGCGACAGGTTAGCACATTGGCCTCACAGTGCAGAAGAGGTGCAGAGTTCGATTCTGTGTGGAGTTTGCATGTTACCGCTGTGCCTGCGTGGGTTTTCTCCGGGTACTCTGATTTCCTCCCACATAACAAAAACATGCACGGCAGGTTAATGGGACACTCTAAATCAGGGGTGTCAAACTCATTTCACATGGTGGGCCACATACGGCCTCGGTAGATGTCAAGTGGGCCGGACCATTAAAATGATACCATACTTTGCTATAAATAACCAAAACAATATGTCTTTCCTTTGTTTTGGTATAAAGAAGCACAAGAACATTAGGAAAATGTTGAAATTTAACGAACATATCTTTTACAAAATATTTCATGAACCACCTTACATTTCCTTCGACAAATGTGCAATTTACTTTTATCATTCACATATATGCATTGCAACTGATCCCACTGATTGTACAAACTTTAACAAGTAATTGGTATTGAAAAATAAGATAAAATAAGATAAGAAAACCTTTATTAGTCTCGCAATGGAGAAATTCCCAATTCACAGCAGCAAAGTTATGAATACAGTAAAGCACTTTAAGATTAAACAAGATTTATGAAGAAAGGAAGTTTTAAACCATGTACACATGCATATAAAATCTAAAGGTAATCCCTGCCTACACCTTACAAACTAAGGAGAGTGCTATTAAATGTGTAAATGTGAAAGTGCTATTGAAAGCGTCTGCTGTCATGGGTCTGTCTCAGTGACAGACTGAGGCTGCTGTTGTCTTCTTCTCTGATCAAAACAGTGTCCCCTTGCGGATACTCAATGAATTGCACCTTATTAAAAATATTAATTCTGTGTCTTTAATAATGCATTTTTTTCACTTTTAAATTATCCTGCGGGCCTGATTGAACCTCCTTGCGGGCCGGTTTATGTTTGACAACCCTGCTTTACATAATCATCTCGCGGGCCGGATTAAACTCCTTTGCGGGTCGGATCCGGCCCGCGGGCCGTATGTTTGACACCACTGCTCTAAATTGTCCCTAGGTGAGCGCAAATGGTTCTTCATCTCTGTGTGTCCTGCGATTGGTTGGCAACCAGTCCAGGGTGGACCCCGCCTACTGCCCGAAGACAGCTGGGATAGGCTCCAGCCCCACCCCCGATACACACACACACACCCCGCAACCCTCATGAGGATAAAGCAGATTAGAAAATGGATGGATGGATGGATGGATGGATGGATGGATGGATGGATGGATGGATGATGAATACTGTACATACACCCGTTCTTAAGTCCTTTAAACACATGACTTTAATCTGTCATCGTTCATTTAAAACACATTGGGTTTATTAGTTATATGTATTATATAAGGGTCAATCTTATTTCATTCACATTTGACTGTCAAATATAAAAACATAGAGTTTATTGATATGTTTATGTCCATTTTTAAATAATTCAAATCGATGAAAATTTGACATGCAACTGAAATACATAAACCTACCTGCGAATGTACAGTCAAGAAAAATATCACAAAATTAAGAGACGAGAGGGGAAAAAAAACAAACAACAATTAAACTTATGTAAAAATATGAAAATGATCATGTTAAAACATAATAATTATGATGTTAAAACGTGACATGATCATATCAAAATTTGATACTTGTCACATAAAAAAGGGCAATGTAAAATTCGCGTATATGTTCTTGCCATTGCGTATGAGGGAATCTTCTGGTACAAACCTCAGCAATCCCAGGTTTAGTGTCATTGCATTCGGAAGAACCCGCCGTTGCCTCCTGCTGCAGGATGGGACCAAGGTCGCAACAGAAGTTGGGGAGTCTTCCACGAGGCAAAAATTGTCACGTTTTGTACTTTTCATGGTTTTACATGGTACATCACACATTTTTACGTGACCATTCTCACATTTTTACATGATAAGTTTTGTGTTTTCTTTTCCCCCCTGGTATGGCAGCAATATGCTTCCATAGGTTTGAGTATAAATCGATAGAAATGTTATGGAACAAATATTAGAAATTAGGTTGTAAAAGTAGATCAGTGGTTGACAGCATTTAGGCCTGGCTGTTCCCGACTTCCCGCGACTGGTTGGAACGCTTGCATTTCATTCATGCGGACGTCTGAAATGATGTCACTTATCAGCCTGTTGTCTCCCTTTCAAGGTATAACAGCCTGGTGACGGGCAAGCGGGCGCAGTGCATCATCGCTGTCTGCTGGGTTCTCTCCATCATCATTGGCCTCACCCCCATGATGGGCTGGCACAAGTTGTCTGAGAAAGAAAGCAGCGATTGCCCACCGGGTCTGATGACGTGCCTCTTCGAGGAGGTGGTGGTCATGGATTATATGGTGTACTTTAACTTTTTTGCCTGTGTGATGATTCCTCTGCTGCTGATGCTGGCCATCTACCTGTGTATCTTTATGGCAGCTCGTCACCAACTCAAGCTCATTGAGGTCAAAGCGGTTCACGGGGAAAAGTCACGCTCCACTCTCCAGAAAGAAGTCCAAGCTGCCAAGTCTCTGGCCATCATAGTGGGCCTGTTTGCCGTCTGCTGGCTGCCCTTACACATCATCAACTGCTTCACGCTTTTCTGTCCCAAGTGCCAGCGCCCGCCGCTCTTCATCATGTATGTGGCCATCATCTTGTCGCACGGCAACTCGGTGGTCAACCCCTTCATCTACGCCTATCGCATCCGCGAGTTCCGGCAAACCTTCCGGAAAATAATCCACATCCACATCCTGGGCCGTCAGGAGTTGCCGGGGAGAAGCGGCAGTAAGCGCTACTCGCTTCACAGCAGCTTCAACGACTCCATCAGGCTCAAGGCGAACTTTGACCTTTGCACCGAGCAGGGCGGCAGCAGCACGGAAAACTTTGCTCGCCTCTCCCCTGTCGCGGGCGTTCTATTGGCCGTATCCCAAACGCCCCTGTCACTTGTTGTGCCAAATGGTCCCAAAATGGATCCCATCGGACCGACTCAAATGCCCATCTGTCATCAGAGCCAGTATTTGGTGGGATCACAAGGCGTGGAGGAAAATAAGGCACAGAACCAGAGTGCCGCCCGGGCGCAACCACAGTTTAACTGGCAGAACAGGGAAAGCAGCCTGAGTGAGCTCACTCTCGTGTCTTGACACACACAGCAGTTATCACCACTCCCCTGGTCAAATTTCTTTTGACATGCTTGGCTAACCTGAGGGTACATGCTGCAGAACTCTCGAAACCAGTTATTTCCCCCCAATGTGCCGTAAGAGATCATCATCATCATCATTATGATCAGGGGTATCATGGGAAATTCACTAATTTGACTTCATTGGCCCAAAAAGTATTTATTTTCTGTCAATCTTGTATCTTTGTTCACTTCATCCATGGCAGTGACATGTGGTGACAGGCAGAACAATAAAATAGTCTTCCACTTTTTGACAGAATGTACCACTGAACAGAATCCACTTTTTGTAGCATTCTTTTTTTAGTGCTGTGCAGTGAGTTTTTCCAACAAGGTATGTGTCTGGGCTCAATCAAGGTCTGGAAACACACTTCTAAAGCACAGGTCAAACCAAAGGCTCGGAGGCCAGATCTGGCTTGCCGCTCATTTTTTTGCGGCCCACTAAAGCAAGTCGAGGTTGCCTTCCGTTGTCCTTTATTTTTTTTAAATGGCTGTGCGCTTTTCCTAAAGTCACAAAATCTCGCCCTACATTATCCATCCATCCAGCCATTTTCTAATCCGTTTATCCTCACAAGGGCCGCCGGCATGCTGGAGCCCATCCCACACCCTGAACTGGTTGCCAGCCAATCTCAGTCCCTTACAATTTCTTTATTTTCAACAGAGCATTTTCTTCACCAAATTGCTTCTTTAACAGTCCTTGTATTCGTAAATACAGTATTTACCTACATGCTACAATTTTTCATGACTTCTGGGTACAAAATGTTTTAACAATATTTCTAATAATAATCTGTAGGGAAAATTGCATATGATTAACATGCTTGGGTGCCAAGGCATTTACTGTTTCTCACAGCCATAGTGGCTCTGTGTGGGAAACCCAAACTAACGTGCTATGACAGCATGGCTTCACTATAAGAGTGCGAGTCAGAGACTGGCCTGTCTGCAGTCCAGACCTGTCTCCCATTGAAAATGTGTGGCGTATTATGAAGACAATGGCGACTGTTGAGTAACTGAAGTTCTACATCAGAGGTTCCAAACTCGTGACCCATGGGCCATTTGCAGCTTGCAGGATGATATTTTGTGGCCTCCTACTTAACATCAAAGTTTAATATTAGTGTGCCCCCTGTGTTTTTTTTCTTTTTCGTTGCCCTGGGGTTTTGTGTGTCTTGGTGTGTGTGTTTTTAATCACTCATGGGCTCCCATTGCAAGGGCTCAACTTTTGGCAAAATGTAATTCTGAAGTGACGCCAAGTGGAAGGAAAACATATCCTGACACTCAATCCCAGTCATGTCTTTTTCAAAACCTACCGTAAAGAAAAAAATTTGGGGACGAGAACAGCCAATTCCTCGAAAAACTTTTTTTTTTTTGGGGGGGTGGGGGGGGGGTTAGCACAGGGGCACCCCAACATACCTTAGTTTCACAGAGAAAGTTGCAGTGCTTAAGAAATCAGATGCCATGACTTAAGTAGACTTGCTGAGGCATATGCAAAGTACCAAGGAGATGCAAGGGAGGACTGGGTAACCAATCATGTTCATGTTCTGAACTGTTGATTGGATTAGTTGTGGAATGTCTGATATGGCCCAGACACACCCAGACACTATCTCAAGTGGCGACCTCACAAAAAGTCAGTTGAGTTTGAGACCCCTGTTGTCCATCAAGCAAGACTGGGAAAGAATTCCATCGACAAAGCTTCAACAATTCAGTGTCTTCAGTTCTAAAATGCCGCTTGAGTGCTGTTATTAGGAAAGGTGATATAACGTAGCGGTAAACATGTCCCCGCCACATTTTTGGGGAATGTGGTGTTGGCATCAAATTTAAAATGAATGAATATTTGAAAAAACAAACATACAAAAAAAAAGATAATCAGTTTGAACTTTAAATTTCTCTTCTTTGTAGTGCAATCAACAGAATATGTCATCATTGTCCTGTGTTCTGATTTATTTACGTTTGACGCAAGCTAACTTCATTGTAATTGGGGCTTGTTTTTGGGGTTATTTCTCATATCAAATTTGGAACTGATGAGAAAGATCTGGTTCACTCATCCTGGGAAAAGCGTATTGAGTCAGTCAGACTAACTTTGGAGCTCTTTATTTTCCCAGCGTTACTTTCAGTTCCCCTGTGAATTCAGGTTAGAGGAGTCAGGGCCTACTTCTGTTTGAAATGTTCCCCGGGGTGCTCAAGTACTATTAAACATTTACCACAGAGACTACCACTTGTCCTCGGTTTCTATTCGGAGGGGTTGCTCATATGGGTATGTTGCAACAGTTCAAAATGAGGAGAACATTTCTGCTTGTTCCTATGTTCACCATTCAGAGCTATTATACAGTATATCACACAAGCTCTTAGAGGATCAACACATTTGATAAACGTACTGTAAAATGCCACATGATTCAATCTCAATAAATCATGATCTGTATTATCCTCCTAATATCAATACATGATAAACGTTGAGACACTGTGCAACCTTTCACAATTCTTTGTTATGTGCCATTTACGCACAATGTTTTCACTGGGGTTCACGTCATGAAATAGTGTGCATACTGTACATGTTGTGAACAACGACTGCAGCCTCGCCCGTGCTTTCATTGCAACTCCCTGCTGAGTTCAACTATTCATTGTCAAAAGGGGAACCGCCAAGCAAGCAAGATTTGCCCTCTCATCTTCCAACACTGACACCTGCTGGCGGGGATTTCAGACTGCACCTAATCTGATGACTATAATCATAGTATTTGAAATATCCATCCATTTTCTGATGTGCTCATCCTCAGGAGGATCACGGGCGTATTGTAGCCTGTCCCAGCTGTCTTCGGGCAGTAGGCAGGATATACCCTGAACTGGTTGCCAGCCAATAGCAGGGCGCCGGAGTGCCCGGAGAAACCCCACGCAGGCACAGGGAGAACATAATTAAATACATATTGTGGGAGAAAGCCAGAGAAACCCCTCGCAAGTTTTGGGGGAACAGAGCAAACTCCACATATAAAGGAAGAATTTGAACCCTGAAGCTCAGAACTCTGAGGCAGATGTGCTAACCCAGGGATGTCCAAACTCGGTCCTCAAGGGCTGATGTCCTGCCTGTTTTCCAGCTCTCCCTGGTGAAACACACCTGTTCAAAGGATCAGATCATCAGCAAGCTCTGAAGAAGCAAGATAACAAATCTGGTCATTTGAATCAGGTGTGTTTCAACAAGTCCACTGTGCTGAAAATGTTCACTGCACACCAAATTAAAGACAGAAGAACAATGAAAAATAGGATCAGTAATTTGAACAATGTTAGCCCATAAAATTAGTTAACGCAGTGGTCCTCCACCTTTTTTGTATCATGGACCAGTTGAGACAAGTCCATGCTGTTCATGGAACGGCAAGCATTTTTTTTTCCATTGCTTTTCGCTTTTTCGTAGCTGTGCAAAAAGCACTTATTGGGCACACCGTCGGGCACAACGCTGGTCCTCTGGATAGAGCCTTCTCCTTTGCCGATACTTAAGCGTCCTTGGGTGTCTTGACTGACTTTAAATTAGTCTTTTATTATTATTATTACGAAAGAAAAACAGTGAGAGAAACTCAGAGTAAGCTACGCATTTCCTCATTCTCTCACATTATAAGTGAGCACTTGGAGAGGCTTATCATCATGGTATTTTCAGAGGTTGAAGTGGGCAAAAGTGGAGATGACCATATTAGTTTTGCAGATGACGAAGGGGCGTTTCCAAATGCAACGAATTCTTTTTAGATGGTTCCGAAATGGGTTGATGATATCAAGATGACCCTGGCCCCCTGCGCAAAGTAGAACGTGTGAATGTCAGCGTTAAGGTCAAGGTCATCTTTATTGTCAAATATGCTTTATGTATTACATGCTGCATAGATGAAATTTCTTCCTCTCTATCCTCCTCAGTGCAAACATGCAAACATGCTGTGCATTAAACACACAGCTAAGACAAGATAGCAGCTAATGTAATGTAATGTGAACAGTATAAACAGTATAGACAATATAAACAACATAAACAATGGCACGTGAGTACGTTGTCGGTTTATATGTGATCTGCGATTGGCTGGTGACCAGTCCAGGTTGTACCCACCTAACAAGTGGCATTAGACTCTGTGTTGTGAATCAAAATAATGACGACAGACACAAAAATTGCTTGTTTTGGCTGGACTTTAACTCACTCAGATTACCTGACTAAATCCGCTCCACACAAAAATTGCTTGTTTTAACTCACTCAGATTACCTGACTAAATCCGCTCCCCCACCAAAAATCCTCCCATCAAATGTCGCGATCTAAAGTGCCACTGTACAAATTAAATGTATTAAATCACAAATTAAAACACGCAGCAATGTATTAAAATACTTAAGCTTGTACATGAAAACAAACGACTTTCTCTGCTATAAAGTCCCTTACCTTCCAAATGGACAGCAACAGTAAAAGGGAACGATCAAAGGCACCGAAACAACTTCTAAGGGGCAGTGTCACATTCATTGCTGAAGGAGGCGAACCCACAATAAACAAAATTAATGTTCCATTTCATTGGGAGGATGAATTAAAGGAACACGTCCGGTAATTATCATTCAACGGATTTTGTGAAATTATTATACTAAAATAATATTTCATACAAAGTTTATTTTTAACACACACACACACAAACACACACACACACACACACACACACACACACACACACACACACACACACACATCAAATAAATATATATATGGTCACTCATTGGCCCTTAAGATAACAGAACAGAATGATGAACATTTATACTGTACCAGAGATCTACATGTATGAGCTTCCTAAACTGAAAAAAAAAAATGTTGAGTTGAATTTACTCAATTTCATTTTGTCAAGTGGTTGCATCCAAAATAGATTTTTTTCAAGTAGATGTGTCAAGAAAGAGTGATTTGCCATGCATCTGGCAAGAATCCTACAGTACTCCACAGACAAGGTGAGGCGCCTTATCACCGATACACACAATACAGTGATCCCTTGCTATTTCGCGGTTCGTATATCGTGGCTTCAGTGCATCGCAGATTTTTTCAAACATACTCATAAAAAAAAAATAAAAAATAAAAAATTCATACACATGTAGTACAGTACTGTACTGTATATGTTGCTCTATGTGACTCGCTGTTGTTTTGCTGACTTTCGCAGCTTCTGGCGGACCGTTTGCAGACTTTTTGCGGACTTAAAGAAAAAATTATATGTTAACTGTATTTTATTATTCATAAACTAACCTCACTTATACATGTTTAAATCTATTAGTATGCAGCATTAAGTCATGTTAATTACTTCAAAATTTACTTCTACATGCATGTATACCATTAAATTTGGCCTTATAAATATTATGTACATGTACCTATATGGAGGGGGGGAGGTCGCTACTTCGCGGATTTTCGTTTATCGCGGGTGGTTTTGGTCCCCATTAACCGCGATAAACGAGGGATTGCTGTAATGTAAAACAAATTCTGTACAGCAATTTAGTACTGTACACGTATAACAGAATGTGATACATGTGAATAACAGCACAGGGCGGTCTGGATCTGACCCAAGCATGGACTCAGTCAAGCGGCACGTTGGTGTCATGACTCTGCCAAATCGTGAGGTAAATTGGCTATCAGCATCCACCGTTGCAACAGGAAGGAATGCCATAGATGGTCGGAACCAGGGGACTCATCAATAGAGGACGCCTCACTGACCCGTGAGCTTGTATGCTCATCATTCCAGTCATTGGCACACAAAAGAGAACCAGTAAGGGGCGGAGCAAGTTGCGGTGGAACACAGGAGCACTGCTGAGTAACTTCCCCCATGCTCGGTAGTCCCCCTGTGGTGCAAGATTGACAACCTGTCTGAACTCTTTCAGGCAGTTTGGGACCAGACCAACATGCGATGAAACTGAGCAACTCAAGATACTGCTCACAATCGGGGTCTGAGGAGTTGGAGTAGATGATCTCCCGGGACATTTCAACAGACTTTAAAGTATTGGTTCAATGACATGACTTCCAATGACTAGCTCATCTCACTGCCCCCAAAACAAGAAAAGTCGGCTCTCTGAATTTGGATCCAAACATCTTGTAAGAGTGAGATTTGTTAACTCCATTCAACTTTTTTTGTTCAGAATTCTGCAGCAGGCCATAATACAGTATATGGCCCCTTTCAGAGCCCGGAGTGCCTTTTTGTGTGGATCAAATCCATGGAGACCGACCGCAGAGGTCCCCCCTTTTCACGCGCTTAACAAGATCTGGATTTTACAGGTTGGTCCGTCTGGCATAAACACATGCGGCTGGAACCTGACAAGAACTCAAGAGAACGACGGAGGAAAAACAAGCTTTGTATCAGAAGGGGAAATGTTTGTCACTGTCCTGTTTGGAGGTTTGAAATCTTCCCGTTGCCTATCTTTAACACTGGTCACATTATTAGCCTACTGTATGAAGTTGTGGGAATGTTTTATTGAAGAACCAGAACATGTTTTAAAACTAATGCTTGAAACCTGATTTCCTGTCCTGATGTGTGTGTCAATTATAATCATTCTTTTTCTTGATAGAAAGCAGAATGGAAATGTTTAACATTAACTGCCAACTGATACACTTTGTCCACAATTTGAAGGAGCGTTGTGGAGTGGACTTGAAAGGTATTCACGAAGGCTCGTATCACAGCCCAAGTCTATGAGTCATTAGTAAACATATTAACTCACTTTATATCCTTTTAGGCCTTAACAATGACTACAAGTTACATATATACAGTACAGAAGGAAGACATACAGTTTGTACTCTTGAGTTGATATGTTTGTGAGTTTATTCTGTTTTTAGAAAACACCACATGACATTAGCAATATGAAATGTGAAAAGTAACAACATAAAAGAAAAAGACTTTTTATTTATTTATTTATTTTTACGTCACAGCTTCCATCCAACAATAGGTGGATTTGGAAACTATGTGTCCTAACAAGATACTGTTGTATCTTACAGACTGCGTGGACCTAATGAACCGCAACGGCACAGTAGTGAATTTAGAAACCAAGGAGCTCAGTGTGGATCTGGCCAGCAGCTTGCTGGCAGAGAGACAGCACTATGTCCTCCTCCAAGTTTGCCGTGAGTCCTCCTCCTCCTCCTCCTCCTCCTCCTCCTCGTCCTCTTCCTCTCTGAAGAGAGACAAAATCACATCAGAATCATGCACCATATGTGGCGGCTTAAGTTGAGATAGATGTCACACATCAACAAAGTGATGACATGAAGTGATTTTACGAGGAACTGTTTATCATATTTTGCCTTGCACGTACAGTGTAGCTATGAAATATAATTGAAATAGAAGAAACATCCCTGCAGCTACAATCATAAAACAGATTGTTAAATTATTCCCATTTTTCAAATTCTGAAGAAAACTGAGGCTTCTTATCTTCTCCCTTCATTGGTTTTGGAAGATGCAACAAGATACTATGTAACACAATTAAAATGGACATGTACCTGTATTTTGTCTCTAGGAAATGATAACGGAGGCCAACAGTATGTTTCCCTCTTACACAATGTCAGCCAGAGCCATCCAGAATTAAAAGGTGATTTTTGCCTAGCAAGTGATACCATTTGTTTTTTTTTAATCCTCCCGACATTGGATTTGTAAACGATTCATCTGCAGAGCTCCTGAGGAAAGTGTGCAACCCTGGCCAAGAGAGAGACAAGAAGTTCACCTCTGCGCGGAGAAGACACACGCACAGGAAGGGTCCTGCTAGCCAGAGCTGGAACAAAAATGCCTGTCAACAATGAGCACCACCAACATTCATTCAGCATCTGTCCGTCCTTCCATTCATTTCTAAGCGCTTGTCCTACTCAGCGGTCATGCATGAGTTAGGGCCGAGCATAACCGACAAGAGGGCAGGTACATACTGTCTGATCGCCATTCAAGCGCAAAGCACATCAAAACAAGCATTCACAGTAACATTCACACCCGTGCTCTTGTTGCATCGCCCTGCTTTGTCCGGCTATCGATTGTTCAAGGGGGAAAAACAAAAAAACAAAAAAACTAACAAGTATGCTGTGGGTTTGCGCAAAATATGCCAAAACCCGTGACTTCACGTCTATGCTGTAGCTTTAATTCAAGACCGAGTAAATATAAGAAATATGTACGACACTCTACTGCAGGGGTGTCAAACACACGGCCCGCGGGACGGAACCGGCACCCAAGGAGGTTCGATCAGGCCCGCAGGATAATTTAAAAGTGAAAAAATGCATTCAAGACACGGAATGAATAGTTTTCATAAAATGCACTTCATGGATAATCCACTAGGGGGCACACTGTTTTGATCAGAGTAGAAGACAACATTGTTTTGATCAGAGAAGAAAACAGTAGTCTCAGTCTGTCTCTGAGACAGACCCAACACATCAGACAGTATCAATGAGCCAATGCCTCTTTATACCAAAACAAAGGAAAGACATGATATTTTGGTTATTTATAGCAGCGTATGGTATAATGTTAATGGTCCGGCCCACTTGACATCTACCGAGTCCGTATGTGAAATGAGTTTGACAGCCCTGCTCTACTGGTACAATAATAAATAACATGAGGGAGGTTGAAGTAGTTCAGCTTTAACCACAGTATTTGAGTTGCACACTAATCTGTGGCTCCTTTTCCATCATCCATTTTCGACTCCACTTCCCTTCGTTAGACTCAATGGCTGAGCTAGCGAGAGTCTATCCCCGGTTGACTTTGGGCCACAAGCTGGGTAACATCGTTGGCTGGTCACCAGCTAATTGCAGGGCCTATATGACACATCGAGTTTGGCTGGTCCTACAACTCCAATCTTCACAAATGGCGTTGACGGCAACGAACGAGCTCTGGTTGGATTAGAAACTTCCGCCCATAACTGTGGAAAAGTTTTTCTTTTTCATATAAAAAGGCTTAGTTTAATTACAATTCCATGTCGCATTGTGACCAAAGGTAGAAATCTGGTTCGTTATCACACTTTTAGTACTGTAAATAGTAAATCCTTATTGAGGATGCTGTCTGCTAAACTAGCGATACGGCACACATCAGTTCCGATGATTTCTTCTTGTCTTTCTTCATCTTGTCCTTCCTTTTTTTTTTTTGACACTTCTATTTCATTTTGGCAATTAACAAATACTTTTGGTGCATTACTGCCACCTTCTTTAGCAAGAATGCAGTGAATGCAGTCCACACTGTCACCACTTAATCCATTCTCATCCTGTTCCTTTCAAAATGGCCACTTTTGGGAAGCCCAACACAACCAGTCACTAAGGTTGCCACCTTTCAGATCTGGAAATAGGGGACACTCCCCCGGCGTCGCAGAAAAACCACGCAGGCAAACGAAATGGGAGGGTTGAAATGCATTGAATCCCAGGAATTTTTTTATATGAACAAACTAAATGCTTTGATTGACATTATTTAACATGTCATATTAGCCTCTGGTCCCTATGAGTCACTTCATCAAGAGTGAGAGTCAGGAAGGAGAAGTCAAGAAAGCCTTTAGACGTACTTAAAGTTTCAAGTGCTCTATTAGCAATGAACACGGTTATTTTTTTTTTGCCTGAAGGCTGAAGTAGCGCGAACCATGGCCTAGCCTATAGGCTATTAAAAAGTGCAGTAAATTAAACAAAGATTTGTACTTTAACACTTTTAATAATTATGTAACGCTGGATAGCCCCAACTTGAGCATATCGACCTGGCCTACTGCATTGTATACATATAAATTAAACAAAGCCTCTCTGGGGAGACTTTTACCGAAAGAGGACAATACTTCAATTAAATAGCCTATAAAAATGATGTAAATGTAACAACTGGGGACACCTTTCCTGTCAGAGGAAGAAAAAAATGAAACACTTGTAAACTTGTGTGTATGCATGGTCAAGGCTGAAGAGACTGAACTCGGCTGAACTTGAGCATACTGTATTACATGCTTACACTGTCAAGTGCTGTGACAGCTATACCAAAGCCTATCTGGGGACACTTTTATTATTATAACGATAACTATAATAAAATTAAACATTTGTGTGAACCCAAATGAAAAGATGAAAAAAAAAATGGGGAAAAGTGCATAACAATCCTCTTCCTCAATCCCTTCATGTGCTCTTTGATGCCAGATCAGGGCTAAAGACTGAACAGGTTTTTGGTCATTGTTGTTGAATTCACTGTTCATGTTTGTGATCAATTCATACGAAATTCATACGATTGGACCTGTTACTAATGAGAACAACACAAAAGACAGGGTTTTTTAATTGAGATTTTTTTTCAAATGCTCCATTGCTGGCCATTAAGACAATCATGAGTAAGTAGCCAAAAACAATCACCTTTCTATATTTTCCAAGTTTAGAGCAATCTGTGCCAAATTATGAATCTCCTAACTACAGGAAAAAAGCACAAGAGAAAAAAAGTCAAGTTCTGTGCTCGGACGATTAATGAAGCATGTGCAATTGCATGAGGAGCATGTGTGAGTCCTACACTGAGACAGCTTTCCATTTGTTCGAAAAATACATGCCTTTGTGTGTATAAAATATATTCAATGTTAAGTATAACCCGATAATCTTTTGTTTTCAGTGCAAGGATAAGAAAGTAGACAGTGTTCCTCTCTGTCTGTGTGATTGTATTATCCCGTCGCTGTGAGACAAAGCAAGATGTCTAGATCAGTGGTTCTTAACCTTGTTCGAGGTACCGAACCCAACCAGTTCACATGCACATTCACTGAACCCTTCATGAGTGTAAAATAAAAAAAAAAGTATCTTTTTTTTTTTTTTTTTTTTACAAATTCAAGACATTAAAAAACATTAAAACCAGAAAAAAAGCAAATAAAATTTCAAGACCGAAGTCGATTTTTTAAATTTAATTATATGGTAGAGGCTCTGTCAAACCCCTGAGACCGATTCACCGAACCCCTAGGGTTCGATCGAACCCAGGTTAAGAACCACTGGTCTTGATGAAAGGACTGTTCGTTTATATGAGATGACCTTGCCGAAGGAGAACTCGGCAGTTACTTCTCGCAGCCGTCTGGTGTATTTGAAGTCTCCTCAGATACAAGTTTTTATTAAATTGTAACATTCTCAAAAGTGCTTTTCTTGTCTTTTGTGTAGGAATGGGTTAACATTTTTCTCCCCTTGACAGCATCCGGGTAAAATGATCCGTTACACAAAGAAGATGAGTCATTTTGCGACTCAGGCATTAAAAGCAGGATATTCGATTCAGTTTGTTTCTGTTTGGTCTTCTTAATGTTTGCAATTTTTGTCCAAACACTCTGTGTGAGTTCAAGTATTTTAATTGCAGAACTTTCAGAAATAATATCAAAATAGTGAATAGTTGTTGTTCATGTTGAAATTTTCTGATTTATTTCAATCATCTGATCGTGACTGCACATGAAAAAAGATCTTTTTTTTCAGTTAATAAGCAACTTTAGCAAACAACACTGAGAGGAGGCGCGTTGGTGTGACGCAGCACTGACAATGATACATAAACACGAACAAGAGTTTTGGCTGTGCTGAATCCAGAAAAACCCAGAGGATCTGCAAAAATGTCTGCAGGCCAATTGGAATCGCTCGAGAGAACGTTGGAAACTTACATTCCCAAATCTGAGCTGAAAGAGGTCAAACGCCTCTTATTTGGCAAGGAGACCGCGTGAGTTGAAATAGATTGTTGCTCTCGTTTGCTTCGTTCACATTCTTTTGCCTCGTCTGTTTATTGTCAGTTATTTAAGCGGAGGAGCGAAGTGGACTTTGATCAGTTTGTTCTGCGGTGTGATCTTTACCCTTTTGCACTCGACTAAACCGACAAACATGAAAGGTCAGAGTGTATTTGTATAGGGAAGCTGAGATGTAAGCAATGCGACCGACGTATATTTCAGTCAGGGTTAAAAAGCAAAGTTGTCTTTAATCCGTCGAAGAAATGCTCTGCGGTACACTATGAAGGAAGCATTAATATTGAAACGCGCATACATTCTGAACTCATATCAATACAAGCCCGGCAATTTTGCAGTTTGTGCTATTGATGGCGAACTGCAGTATGTGACACCAGAATAGTGAATTTCCTTAATCCTTGTCGAAGAAATACTCTACGGTACACTATAAAGGAAGCATTAATATTGAAACGTGCATACGTTCTGAACTCCTATCAATACAAGCCCTGCAATTTTGCAGTTTGTGCTATTGATGACGAACTGCAGTATGTGACACCAGAATAGTGAATTTCCAACGGGGAATGTCATCTATAGCATCCTGGACCTTCCAGCGGGTGCCCTGGAGGCTGCACGGCAAGGTGACTTTGAGCTGAAAGGCTTCAGCTTTGAGGCAGCTGAAGAACAGCTGAGGCTGCCCAGAAGGATTCGAGTGGGTCATGTTAATTACTTCAAAATTTACTTCTACATGCATGTATACCATTAAATTTGGCCTTATAAATATTATGTACATGTACCTATATGGAGGGGGGGAGGTCGCTACTTCGCGGATTTTCGTTTATCGCGGGTGGTTTTGGTCCCCATTAACCGCGATAAACGAGGGATTGCTGTAATGTAAAACAAATTCTGTACAGCAATTTAGTACTGTACGTGTATAACAGAATGTTATACATGTGAATAACAGCACAGGGCGGTCTGGATCTGACCCAAGCATGGACTCAGTCAAGCGGCACGTTGGTGTCATGACTCTGCCAAATCGTGAGGTAAATTGGCTATCAGCATCCACCGTTGCAACAGGAAGGAATGCCATAGATGGTCGGAACCAGGGGACTCATCAATAGAGGACGCCTCACTGACCCGTGAGCTTGTATGCTCATCATTCCAGTCATTGGCACACAAAAGAGAACCAGTAAGGGGCGGAGCAAGTTGCGGTGGAACACAGGAGCACTGCTGAGTAACTTCCCCCATGCTCGGTAGTCCCCCTGTGGTGCAAGATTGACAACCTGTCTGAACTCTTTCAGGCAGTTTGGGACCAGACCAACATGCGATGAAACTGAGCAACTCAAGATACTGCTCACAATCGGGGTCTGAGGAGTTGGAGTAGATGATCTCCCGGGACATTTCAACAGACTTTAAAGTATTGGTTCAATGACATGACTTCCAATGACTAGCTCATCTCACTGCCCCCAAAACAAGAAAAGTCGGCTCTCTGAATTTGGACCCAAACATCTTGTAAGAGTGAGATTTGTTAAGTCCGTTCAACTTTTTTTGTTCAGAATTCTGCAGCAGGCCATAATATAGTATACGGCCCTTTTCAGAGCCCGGAGTGCCTTTTTGTGTGTATCAAATCCATGGAGACCGACCGCAGAGGTCCCCCCTTTTCACGCGCTTAACAAGATCTGGATTTTACAGGATGCAAGTGTGTGTGTGTGTGTGTGTGTGTGTGTGTGTGTGTGTGTGTGTGTGTGTGTTTGCCATGTCTGCATCTCATTCATACAGTGTCCCCCATGCAAGCTGAGTCTTTGTGTAGAGCACAAAAACGATTTAACAGCCTCCATTGTTGACCTCTGCATGTTGGTTACTCGTTGGTCCGTCTGGCATAAACACATGCGGCTGGAACCCGACAAGAACTCAAGAGAACGACGGAGGAAAAACAAGCTTTGTATCAGAAGGGGAAATGTTTGTCACTGTCCTGTTTGGAGGTTTGAAATCTTCCCGTTGCCTATCTTTAACACTGGTCACATTATTAGCCTACTGTATGAAGTTGTGGGAATGTTTTATTGAAGAACCAGAACATGTTTTAAAACTAATGCTTGAAACCTGATTTCCTGTCCTGATGTGTGTGTCAATTATAATCATTCTTTTTCTTGATAGAAAGCAGAATGGAAATGTTTAACATTAACTGCCAACTGATACACTTTGTCCACAATTTGAAGGAGCGTTGTGGAGTGGACTTGAAAGGTATTCACGAAGGCTCGTATCACAGCCCAAGTCTATGAGTCATTAGTAAACATATTAACTCACTTTATATCCTTTTAGGCCTTAACAATGACTACAAGTTACATATATACAGTACAGAAGGAAGACATACAGTTTGTACTCTTGAGTTGATATGTTTGTGAGTTTATTCTGTTTTTAGAAAACACCACATGACATTAGCAATATGAAATGTGAAAAGTAACAACATAAAAGAAAAAGACTTTTTA